TGGCTCTGTATGCAAACTGCAGGGGATCCAGGAGGGGGGCCGTGAGGGTCTTGAGATGGGAGAGAACTAGGCGCTCAAATGACTTCATGACCACAGATGTCAGAGCCACGGGTCTGTAGTCATTTAGTCCAGTGATCCTAGGTTTCTTGGGGACAGGGATTATGGTAGAGGACTTGAAGCAGGCAGGCACATGACATGCCTGCAGTGAGGAGTTGAAAATGCCAGAAAACACTGGGGCCAGCTCGTTTGCACAGTGTCTGAGGGTGGCAGGAGACACACCGTCTGGGCCGGGAGCTTTTCCAGCATTCAGACTCTTAAACTGCTTCCTCACATCTGCTTCATGAATATGAAGAGTTGTGGTGGGAGGAGGTGGTGTGAAATCCTCTTTTGTGTGGGGTGAGGAGGGGGGTGTTGTAGGTGAACAGTTTGAAGGTGGTGATGGCTCTATGGAGGGGGGAGAGGTGGGGGAATGAATGTCCAAAGTGCCTCTATTGTTGGGGCCGTTGGAGGTGTGAAGGCTGCCTGATGGCTCGTCAAAACGGCAGTAAAAGTCGTTAAGGGTGTTGGCTAAGAGCAAGTCGTCAGTGGAGTGGGGGGTTTTAGGCTTGTAGTTGGTGATATTCCTAAAACCTTTCCACACAGAGGCCGAGTCATTCTCTGAGATCTGCTGCTGCATCTTCTCAGAGTGCTGATGTTTGGCAATGTCCACTTCTTTAGTGAACCTGTACTTGGCCTCTCTGTAGCAGTCCCTGTCTCCGCTTCTGAACGCCTTACTCTTTTCCAGCCACAGCTTTTTGAGTTTAGGAGTAAACCAGGGTTTGTCATTGTTATAACTCACCCTGGTGCGTGATGGCACAATGCTGTCCTCACAGAAGTGGATATAGGAGGTGACAGTGTCCGTAAACTTGTCCAAGCTGTTAGAAGCAGCCTTCATTGTGTCCCAGTCTGTGGTCTCCAAACACGTGCGAAGCTCCTCCACAGCCTCGTTGCTCCACAGTTTTTTGGTCCTCACGACAGGTTTGGAGAGCTTCAGCCTCTGTCTGTACGCGGGGATCAGGTGGATCATGACGTGGTCAGAAAGTCCGAGTGAAGCGCGGGGTACCGCGCGATAGGCCCGGCTGATCGTGCTGTAACAGCGGTCTAATGTCCTCTCCTCTCTGGTCGGGCATTTAATATACTGCTTGTATTTGGGAAGCTCATGGCTCAGATTGGCTTTTCAGGTAGCCTATCCTAGCTGGCTCTGGGTGAGACTCAGAGTACACCCTAGAAAAGTTGGCAGTTCACCACGGGGTACTGAGCTGATTACTCTGTGCCTATTTAAGGCTGGGGCTCGGATCTTGTCATCGTTGGATGATTGCATGAGACACGGTAGTGTCAGTTTCAAGCTTTTGTGATTGTTCACAAGTGAGTTTGTCTTTTGAGATTCGTCTTTCTCTGTGTTAACAGTCTCTCTGGACCTGCTGCTGTCTTTCCTGTGTCAGAGTACGAGCGCGTTGGCATGTGGATTCGTGTGGTGGAGCGCAAATGTATGAGAGGATTTTTCCCTCACTTGTATATATCGTGCACTTTGTATAAACTGTCATATCAAACTTTGAATTTCAGTCTGCGCCTGAGTCCTCTCCCTACCTGTAACCAATTACTGGGATTTTTTTTTAATCCTCTGGGGTCCAGGGTGCAATTGGCAGTTTTTGACTACTTTTGATTTTACCTCTGTATTTCACCGTTAAAAATGATTTATCTTTCCTTGTTTGTATCATTCTTTTCAGCACAACCTCACGTCTGAATTTACAGTTTTGTTTTCATTTTGATATACTGCATTAACAAAATTAACACAAGCAATAATATTATTAAAGTTATTATAATAATAATAATAATAATAAGCAATATTATATAAGTTGGTCAATTTTGTCTCTTTTTCTCTAAAACAAACAGATTTATTTTTAGAATTAATACTTTGTTTCTAAGTGGAATTGACAGTTTAGTCTGTTTTGTTTGTTATATTTTGAAACTTAAACGCTTTAGCGGCTGCCTTTTGTGTAGTTTGTAATATTTGCCTTTATTTTGCCTAAACTGAAGCCTCATTTTAAGTACATCTACCCTGTTGAACTTATTATGTGAAATAAATATTTAAATCAAAACAAGCTGCTGATTATTTCCCATTTTACTTGTGAGCAACGGCACATTTAAATCTTACAAATATAGTTATTTGGCTGATATCGTGATAGATATCGTTATCGCCTGAAATGAAAAAAACATATCGTGATATGAAAAAATCTGATATCGCCCAGCTCTAGTTGGAAGTCTATATTTATTTTTTATTTCAACTTGGATCTCAAACTTGGAAAAAGAACAACAAGGGTGTTACGGTTGCAGTTGTAACTAAAACAAATGAAACAATTGCCACAGCTGTGTGGTTTGTGAGAGTAAAGTACCCAAAACGCAGGGAGTGGGTTGATGTGAGTGAGCGTTTATTTACAGTGAGGGATATACAAACAAAAGCGAGGGTGGTAAGGACAGAAGTAAGAAATGCCCTAAACTGGGAAAACTAATGAACACACCTGAAACACGTAGCGGGGAGATGCAGAGAAACACCAACTAACACAGGCAGACCAACAACAAGCACAGGCAAACACACACTATACAGTATACACACATGGAGGGGAACGAGGAATGGCAAAACAGGAGGTAGGCACAGCTGATCCTACCTGATGTGACGAGACAAGAAACACAAACCTTAAAGGTAAAACAGGAAACGCCTAACAAAACCTAAAACTAGAACTCAAGAAATACTAAAGGGCTAAGGAGCTAGAAAGAGTGAGAAAGAAACCAAAACAGTACAGTGACAAACCAGGATGGAATCACCTGCCAACACGGACGATGATGCAGTTCTACACTGCAATCATCGAGTCCATCCTCACCTCCTCCATCACCGTGTGGTACGCTGGAGCCACTATCAGGGACAAACAGAGACTGCAGCGTGTTGTGCGCTCTGCTGAGAAGGTGATTGGCTGCAGACTCCCATCTCTGCAGGACCTGTACACCTCCAGGACACTGGGGCGTGCAGCCCGGATCTCAGCTGACCCTTCTCACCCTGGACACAGTCTGTTTGACCTGCTCCCCTCAGGCAGGAGGCTCCGGTCCATTCGCACCAGAACCTCTCGCCATAAGAACAGTTTCTTCCCCTCTGCTGTTGGACACATGAACAATAAATGTACGACTGTTCCCACCACTAACACATGACCCTACGCTGTGTCACTGCATCATTCCATGTTTGGCACTGATCACCACCTGCACTCATATATATATCAGGTATATATCTTTCTACTTAGCACTTTTAATTCTTATTTTTTTGTTTATTTAAGTGTTATCTGACAGTATGTTTGCACTGAAGCACCGCAGCAATTTCCTAATGTTGTAAACCTGCTCAACATTTGGCAATAAAACCCTTTCTGATTCTGATTCTTCTTTCTGTCCAGCAGGGGGCGACTCATGTGGTTGTAAAGAGAAGTTTGATCATACCAATGTCACAGCTGATGGGCAAACTGGACTCAAACACAGAACTCAGAAAGTCAAAATTCATTGCGCTTATTTACGCACACATTTATTTAAAGTTATTCATGCAAAAACACAAGGCGAAGAGAGGAATAGTGCTTCAATAGTGGTCCAGGGAGAAAGGGAACCCACACATCCAAAAATCCATTGCAACACTCTGCTCACTACACCTCGGAAAGGAAATCCAGCAAACTGCACAGAAGAAACACACAGTAAATGTGTTTCCAGGAGAAACAGGAGCAGCACAGAGCAGGAGGCAGAAACTGTGTAGTTCAACAATCCAGGAAAGAAACACCATCTTCAGTAGTGACTGGTAATGAGATCATCGGAGACAACTTTGTGATTGCCACAGGTGTGTCAGGCCAGAGGCAAGAACCCAAGATGAGTCCCACCAACAAACACAGACCACAACAAACGAATGCAGATAGTGGAGAGAGACAAAGATAAGGCAGAGAGACAGAAAAGAAATTCAATGAAGAGAACTGAGGGACAATAACAGCAGCAGCCTGTGAGGAAGTGAGCCTACTGCTCACTCACACTTTGCTGAGTTTATGGTCTTGTTTAATAATTCATGATATTATTTTTTTAAAGTCAAAGTTCCAAGTTAAAAAAACAAAGAAAGAAAAATCAGAGTATACTTTAGGGCAGGCCTATCTTATGACTGACGAGTTACTGCCATGAGTCAAGCAGTTAGTCAGCAACTTACTCGTGACATCTGGTTTCTAAATACCAAAACAGTGATGGTCAGTGTGTTCAGTTTGAGTCGTCCAGAGTTGGATGATGTCATGAACCTGCAAACTGAAGCATTATTCAAATAAAAAATTTAATTGGATTAGTCTACTTGTTTGTTTTCAGGATTACTCAAAGTTATGGAAAGCTCTACATGAATGTTATAATGAATGAACGAATGATGTTATGTGACATGGGCCTACTTTGACCTTCTGAGTGTCCAATTCAGATCCAGGGAAGTCTTTGTTGTTACAATTGTAAGACTGAATATTCAGACTTGTGCTGGTATCCAAAAATTTAAACTGTGGGTAGTAGGCATTTTTTCAATTTTAAGTCTGGGGGACATGAAAATATGACACAAATGTCACCAACTAGTTTCCATAATTTAGAAAAAAATTTGAATGGTAACATCAGAGTAGAGCTGAAGGAAAATTAGAGAATCTTTAGCATGAATACCATCATCTCTGCAGGTTCTCAATCATCCAGGTCAGAAGGCCTTAAAACACAAATACCATTAGCTCTATAAAGGCGAATGGCCTTTCATGACCAAAGCAAAACCACAAGTCACTACTACAGGAATATATCCAGTCAAATTTAAAATGATTAATTCCATTCATTGCTTGATATCAAATCAAATACAACATTATCAACATATCGCTATACACAACACTAGTACAGTCCTTTAGGCGTAAAAAAATAATTGACAAGAGAATCATTGGAATTTGTTGGAGTGCTACTTTAATGTTTCTTTAAAAACCCTTTGAACAGATTTAAAATACAATGTGAAATCTGAAAGAGGATAAACTAGAATAGCAAAGGCCTTTTCAAAGAGTCTTTTTATATTATTTGAAATGTTTTTTTGCTGACTGAATTTGAACTCAACATATATTACAGGTCATTTTTTTTCCTGAGACGTGTTGCACAGTGGGAGTATGGCACTTCATGTAAATGTAATTAGGTATTCTGGGTAGGCCTGGATATCCTTGAAGACCACAAACATGGTTGGTTTAGCAGTGTTATTTGTGACGCTGTCATACAGGTCTGAGGCACTCCCAGATTTGGGGGGAGGGGTGATCATGCCTTTTCGTCCTTGGGCGTAGTCTCCAACTAGAACTCTGGCCTGGTACATTCGCTTGTGTCCATTGGTGTCGGGCGTGGCGTAGTTCCCTGCTGAATAGCTAGGGTCCACAGCAAAGTAAGAGCCATTGCCGTACATCGCACCTGTGACCAAACAAAGTGAATGCTGTGGTTCAGTGGATGGGCAATTTTAAGTGAAATCTGACTGATGCTCCTCCACTGTGCTCTCTGGTACCATTGTAACTTCATTTACAAACTAATTTTTTGACACAAACCCACTTTACTGACTGAACTGGATTTTGAAGTCAAACTCCAGGATGAATACAACTTTTCTGTCTGACAGGTGCATTCTGACATGCACCTGGGAATTAGTGAAGTTGTGTGAGAAACCTCTTAGACATCTTTGTGAGCAGTGGCAGTCCTAGCCTGTTTGGCACCCTGGGCGAACACCTCTGTGCCCCCCACACACACACCCCCCACCCCCCATACACAAAACATTAAGGATTGTACATTAACATAAAACTGTTGTCGGAACCATACTGAATTTCACCAGAGAAACACACACACTCTTCGTGTGTGTGTGTGCACATAGTATGCAAACAGCTACCAAACAGCCATCATAATTCGTCACACAATGAGAACAGGACAAATCAACAACTGACAATAACTAATTAATATTAAAATCTGTAACATAATGTATTGTTTGGAGTTTAGTCTGTTACTGTTACTATTTTTACCATTTCTTCTTGGAGCAACTGTAACCCACAGAGTTTCATCAGGGATTAATAAAGTATTCTGATTCTGATTGGTTCAGGATGACCTGCCATCATCCAATCACACATCTGCTTACCTGCATCTTTTGCTCGTTTCTCTTCTTTTCTCTTTTTTCTAAACTGAGCACCTGATGGCTTTGAACTTTTCTTGTCCATCTTTTAATTTTGCACTCCAGCATGAACACAAATCCCCCAACTCGAGGATCACCACAACATAACCTAACACACCTACACCTTAGTTCACAGATTCACTTTGTCTAAGGTGCATTTCTGGGATTTCACACAACCCAGGATTCAAATCATGAATACATGATGGGCTTGGATTTACATCATTATGAATGAAATGTGCTCTATTTGGAAGCAGCAGGCCCCTCCCCTTTCGATGGTGTGAGACTTTAACCCTTGCATGGTGTTCGGGTCTGTGAGACCCGTTTTCAGTTTTTTTCTAAAGAAAAGTTAAACAATTATTTTTTCAACCTGAAATTCAGGCTTTGGCTTATTTTCTGTGAAGAACATAAATCCGGACTAATTTTCAGTGACCTCATACCGTACCTCCCCCCACACATTTACATTACATACAAGGTGTTCGGGTCCACTGGACCCAGGTCTAACAAAAGTGTTGAGAGTGCAGGTCCTGTGTTCCCACACTCTGTCTTCCTCCTTTCTGGTGCTGCTGATAGTGTTTTCTTCCCCTCCTGCTCCGCACAAAGTTGCAGCATTGTTGAAAATTCAACCATCAACACCGTCTGCTCTGACATTCCCGCACATTTTACCCTCTTTTTTGAGGGATCCAAATTTTATTTTCTCATACCCTGTCCCACCTGCAAATTAGGGGCATAATACTATAAATAAGACTTTGCCAGTGTGGTTCTTTATCACAACTGATCAAGATGGCAAAAGATTATCTGCTGCGAGGGCCATCCAATTGATTTTGGAAGAGAGAGGAGCTTCGGATGATGATGTTGACAAAGAGGTTTCAGAATATTTCACATTTCTGAAAATTCAGAGTCTGACAGTGAAGAAGAGGATGAGGTTGAGCACCATTTAGTAACAAAACGAAGACGAGTACCCCATCTGCAGCCAGCTCTAGGACCAGAACAAGCCCACCAGACAGCAAGTGAAGAAATATGGATGTCAATAACTGGTGAAATTGGATGGTCTTCTTGCCCAAGAAATGAGCCACCCTGCAGAGCTGTTACTGTGATAAGCCAGGGCCAACACGGCTGACAGTTACTCATGTGCAGGACATCAAGTCTTCATTTGAGCTTTTCATCCCAGATTCCATCCAGAAAATTATTCTGGATTGCAGTAATCTAGAAGGAAGGTGTGTTTTTGGAGAGAGGTCGAAGGAGACCAAATTCATCTAAGAACCCCAAAGTAGGCCTTTGAGGTTCTTATCCTTGCAGGAGTTTTCAGGTCCAAAGGGGAATCCACAGAATCCCTGTGGGATGCAGAAACTGGCAAGAACCTTTCCGTGCATCAATGTCTCTGGAAAACTTCCACAAAATTTCCAGGATTATCCGTTTTGATAACCGAGACGACAGACCAGCTCGACGGCAGAGAGACAAGCTAGCTGCCATCAGGACAGTGTGGGATAAGTGTGTGCACCACCTCCCCCTGTTTTACAACCCTGGGCCTAATATCACCATTGATGAGCAGCTGATCCCATTTAGTTGTGAAACATATTGCTTCAGGAGTAAATGTGTTGTGTCTTTCCACTCACTCCACTTGATTATAACTGATTTATGTTTTTTATAACATTTTATTTAAAAAAACAACAAAAAAAACGAGAAGCACATTATTCATAAATGTGATCTAACAAAGGTAAAGGGAAAAAATTAACTGTTTGCTGTTCATATGGTTTGTAATTGGGATGAAGTAAACATCTGTTGAGTAATTTAACATAAAATTGTTTGATAGTGTTCGTTTGGAAAGACAAAACTCTAGCGGGTCCACCAGACCCATGAACACTGGCTGAGTAACAAAAATATGAACACCACACAAGGGTTAAATCATCAAACTGTAAATGTTAAATTGTTATTGATCCTTTACCCCGAGCCCTAAAGTGTAGATTTATTTTCTTACTCTTCTTATATTTATTGTTCGTTTACTTGCTGTAACTGGAGCCTCGTCGTCTCGTCTCTCTATATACTGGACTGTCTGTAGCGGAGATGACAATAAAGTTTACTTTGACTTCAGCAGCGAGCAGGCGCACCGAGGGCTCTCGCGCTCACTTTTCGCGTATAGAATTTCAAAATAACAATTTATAAATCTGTATCATAATATCTGGTGTTTTCGTGTTTGTTGGTTTGTTTTTATTTAGTTTTACTTTGGTTGGTTGCTTTCTACTGTACTTGTGACGACCAACAGTCACTTGTGAGGACACATACACACACACACACACACACACACACACACACACACACACACACACACACACACACACACCGGTCCTCACAAGTTTGAAGGCCTTTTTGAGGCTCAAAATTTGGTTTTAGTGTCAGTTTGGTTACCATGTTTTTCTGCGTAGCTGCGGTTGAAGCTTTTGCTGTTGATCAGATGGATGGAGGTGTCAGTGGTGCCGTGAAACAGAAGCCGTTCGTTGTTTGTGTGTTTATTCTTTGTCTCCATTTGTTTCTTCAGGATCTGGTAGTTCTGCCACAGTGCTGGATTTTGCACACGTTCAATCTGCCAAAAGAGTCCAAACATAACATTAATTAATTCTCACAATTCTTCCCCTTCTTATGTCTGTTACTTTTCTCTAATAATATTTCTGTTCTTGTCATGAAAACACTGGGGTGGCTGTCTCTGTACATGAACTTTGAAACAACACAGGTCTCCCCAAGAGGATGGCCGAAGCTGCCTCCAGTAGTGAGTCAGTCCTACAGACTACAGCAGAAATAAACATGTTTACAGCCTGATGCAGAAGGTTTTGGTCTCTTTCATAAGAATATAGAAGAGAATTCCAAGAATATCTACTTCATTGTCATTCAGAACATACACCAGTTAGTGCACATCAGAATAACATTTTGGTGCATTTACTCACCATCGAACTGTACAATATAAATAATAAACAAATCTAAATCTGTAAGGTATAAAAAAATGTACATGTAAGAATATAGGCGAAGTTTTTACAAAATATTACGAAAATGAATATATTGCACAGCAATAATAAACAGCAGAAAAATATAGTGCACAATTTAAAAAAGAAAATTGCACTGTCCTAAATATAGTCATAACAACTGTACATGTCATATCTATCCATCTATATCTATCTCTCTCTCTCTCTCTATATATATATATATATATATATATTTTTTTATTTAAATGTATTTAAGAAATACCACTTCCATGTTATTGATGGCTTTTGGAGTTTACTCTGTGGTTAACACTAAGAGACCATCAAAGAAGTCTGTGCTCCAATTTGTTAAGTGAAATTCTAGAATGGTTTTTTTTTTTTAGATGCCAGGTGAAAAATCTTTAAGCGCCTAAAAAGTCCAGTTGACTTCATCTCAAGCATGACCTGCATGAAAACCTACACTGACATAAATTATCAGGTATTTGTTTCTGTGGGATGTATAAAAAATTTAATTTCACACATATTTCATAAACTGTCTATGAGAAACAAACTCAATTTAAAGTTGAAATTTAGAACTTTAATTTTACTAGCCAATTATTTTTAACTGTCACAGTCATACAGTCTGCTCTGTGTATTGGTGGCTGAACATACACTGATGATGTTAAGATAAAGTCCGGTCTTTGTCAGTTCCTGCTCCACGTCGTCGTATTCCTGAGCTCCTGGAGTCAGAGCAAACAACTTCACAAGGTCTCCTTTCATGTCCTCCCAGCAAGAAGGCAGAGCGCTGTCATCTGTAAAGATCATTGGAAGAATTCAGTTTAAATAATGTTGTGCTACACTAATAGTTTTCACATACTTCATATGTTTCAAAGTCTTTTATTGACAGTTACATGACATTTATGCAAAGAGTCAGTATTTGCAGTGTTGGCCCTTCTTTTTCAGGACCTCTGCAATTCGACTGGGCATGCTCTCAATCAACTTCTGGGCCAAATCCTGACAGACAGCAACCCATTCTGTCATAATCACTTCATGGAGTTTGTCAGAATTAGTGTGTTTTTGTTTGTCCACCCGCCTCTTGAGGATTGACCACAAGTTCTCAATGGGATCAAGATCTGGGGAGTTTCCAGGCCATGGACCCAAAATGTCAACGGTTTGGTCCCCGAGCCACTTCGTTATCACCTTTGCCTTATGGCACGGTGCTCCATCGTGCTGGAAAATGCATTGTTCTTCACCAAACTGTTGTTGGATTGTTGGAAGAAGTTGCTGTTGGAGGGTGTTTTGGTACCGTTCTTTATTCATGGCTGTGTTTTGGGGCAAAATTGTGAGTGAGCCCACTGCCTTGGATGAGAAGCAACCCCACACATGAATGGTCTCAGGATGCTTTACTGTTGGCATGACACAGGACTGATGGTAGCACTCACATTTTCTTCTCCAGACAAGTCTTGTTCCAGATGCCCCAAACAATCGGCAATGACTTTGCCCCAGTCCTCAGCAGCCCACTCACCATACTTTCTGCAGAAGATCAATCTGTCCCTGATGGGTTTTTTGGAGAGAAGTTGCTTCTTTGCTGCCCTCTTGACACCAGGCCGTCTTCCAAAAGTCTTTACCTCACTGTGCGTGCAGATGCGCTCACACCTGCCTGCTGCCATTCCTGAGACAGCTCTGCACCGGTGGCACTCCGATCCCACAGCTGAATCCTCTTTAGGAGATGATCCTGGTACTTGCTGGACTTTCTTGGATGCCCTGAAGCCTTCTTAACAAGAATTGAACCTCTTTCCTTGAAGCCCTTGATGATCCTATAAATTGTTGATTTAGGTGCAATCTTAGTAGCCACAATATTCTTGCCTGTGAAGCCATTTTTATGCAACGCAGTGATGGCTGCACGCGTTCCTTTGGAGGTCACCATGGTTAACAATGGAAGAACAATGATTTCAAGCATCACCCTCCTTTTAACATGTCAGGTCTGCCATTCTAACCCAATCAGCCTGACATAATGATCTCCAGCCTCGTGCTCGTCAACATTCTCAGTTAACAAGACGATTACTGACATGATCTCAGCAGGTCCTTTAATGACAGCGATGAAATGCAGTGGAAAGGTTTTTTTGGGATTAAGTTAATTTTCATGGCAAAGAAGGACGATGCAATTCATCTGATCACTCCTCATAACATTCTGGAGTGTATGCAAATTGCTATTATAAAAACTTAAGCAGCAACTTTTCCAATTTCCAATCTTTATGTGATTCTCACAACCTTTGGCCATGACTGTACTTGAGGACTGTGGTCACCTGTTCTCAGGGTTTTTATAAGTTTTCTTTTTTATTAGTTTTTCCCTCCTTTTCTTTAGAATTCTAAACATTTTAAGGGAAGATGTCAGAACTCGCCACTTAGTCTTTCATGAAGGTTTTACTTTGGAAAATACAAATGGTTACATAAGTACTACATGTACATAAGTGACTCACCTTTAAGGTCTTTCCGAAGAAGCTCTACATTACGCCTCTTTGCTGTAACTGCTTTTCTAAGTCCTGGATCAGCGGTGTACGTTTCATCATTGATCTTGATCTTCACCTTTTGTTTCTTCTCTAGCGCCTCCTCCAGTTTGAGGTTGGTGTAAATATCAAACGGCACCATTGAGCCACTGCGGTCTATAAACTGCCACTCTACCAGGCTACTCACTAACAAAGCCTGTCTCTTTGAGTTCTCCGCCCTCTCCACCTTTCGGATGATGTCCCTGATGGTCATCAAATAGAAAAAGCAGTTAGGACCTTGCACTGAACATCCTTAAATACATTTACGTCTCTGTTTGCTGACCTGACTGCAGACTCAGCAGTGAACACGTCTCTGGTCAGACCCTCCAGGTGGATCTCGGGGTCCTGGTCCTCTGCTCCTTTGTCCAGACGGATGCTGACCGTCAGTTTCCTCTGCAGAGCCTTCAGCTCCTCCATGTCAGCCTGTGACAGCTGACTAATGAACGGGTCAGAGATGGTTTTCTGTGCCTGCTCGGCAACAATCAGGTCATTAATCCTTTTCTTGGCTTGACTCAGAGCCTGCAGTGTTGGAGAAATCGTGGTACATTTTAGTTACAGGCATCAACACATTTTGATAAAATAATAATCGCCCATTAAAACATTTACTGGGAAAAAACTAGTCCTGAAAAGCTCCTGATCAACAAGCTTTGACGTAAATAAATGTGAACTCTGTGAAAAATCTGCAGGAAGCTCCAGAAGACAATTAAAATATGCAGATGAATTATTAACTTAGTCTGATATATGTTTAAATCATACAGCTCGCTGAAGGCTGACGGCAGCCGTCCTTTAAGACATGGAAGTGATGTCTGCAGTAAACAGGGGTGAGTCTAAAGGGGGACATGAGGTGTACTTGACCGTATTTGTTTCAAGGCTTTTGTAACATTTTTCAGATTGAAAATGAAATAATATAAAATACTGTGTTAATTAAATTGCATTAATTTTAAAAAATATAAAAACAAAAGCTTTTTTCACAGGGCATCAAAAACGTAAATGGGCCATTAAACTCTGAGCTAATGGCCTGAGGGTTTTTAAATATTGCAAGTTCTAAAATAGAAACCAACGAGCAGTTCATGCTTTTTTTCCCCTTTTAAATATTTATTATTGCTCTTTAATAAGACAAATGCATTTCTTATCCGATTACTTGATTAAGCAATGCTGAGTACAACACTTGCTAAAATAATCATTAGCTGCAGTTTAACTTGCACTTCTTTTTATATTGAATGTGCCCTTTCTCTCTAAACTGAGAGAAAGGGCCTGGCCTGTGGCCCACGATGTAAAATGTGCTCCATGGTAAATTTTTTGTAAAGTTTGAATCTGACAGAATCTGAGGGGATTTTTTAAAACCATACAGGCTTTGATTCATTGTGTCTTTTGATTTAGCACAAAAATTTGCAATTTCAGTTATTTTGTTTGATGTGGGAAGCCTTGCCCTGCAAAATTTTAAATATTGTTGGAATAAAGTATAAAACGTATGTGTACCTTGTTGTCGTCGGCACACAGCTGAAACACTGTGGGCTCAAACTCTTCCCTCTCCAGAACTAAGTCAACAGGGCTGGACTCTTCTGACCCGAATCCCAGAACTGAAGCGACTTGACGAATTTTTGCTGAAACAATAAAACAATAATAAAACTACATGTATACATAATAAAGCCTCATATAGCCTGAACTTTAAAATAAACAACTGATTCAGCTGACCTGATGGGCTGTTTTGCACTCATTTTATAGGTTAGCGTTCCCGCAATCTGTCACCATCACTTTTGGCTACAGTTCTTATCTAATGTGTTTATGTAACCATGTGCAACCAAAATTTAAAGAAACAAAGAAAAAAATAAAACAGAGTGTTGTGAAATGTAAATAAAAACCAAATGCAATAATTTTCAACTAACAACAGAACATAAACTTGTTAAATATTTAGACTGAGGAAATGTACCACTTTAAGAAAAATATGGGCTAATTTTGATTTTTATGGCAGCAACATGTCTCAACAAAGTTGGGGTAGGACGGGGGCAACAAAAGGCTGGAAAAGGAAGTGGTAATAAAAACAAAAAGCTCGAGGAACATCCTGTGACTATTAAGTTTAATTGGTAACAGGTCAGTTTATTAATGGGTGTACAAAGAGCATCTTAGAGAGGCCGAGTTTCTCAGAAGTAAAGATGGGCAGAGGTTCACCAATCTGCAAAAAACTGTCTACAAATTAAGGAAAAATGTCAGAATAATGTTTTTCAGTGAAGCGAATCTGGAGAAATCTCTGTGATAAGGTGGAAAACACTGGGTTTTCTTAATCTTCATCTTGATCTTCAAGCCATCAGGCAGTGTTGCATTACAAACACAACTCTGGGATGGAGATCAGTGCAGAGGTTCAGGAATACGTCTATAAATCACTGCCTGCACCCACACATGCAGGTTAAAGCTCCACCAAGCAGAGGTCATAAGAGAATATGACACAGAGATCCTGCCATCTTCTCTGGATCAAACTTCATTTAAACTGGATGGAGGCTCTAGGAGTATGCTGAGCAACTAGAATCCTTTTATGAGACAAGGATGGGACAACATTCCTCTCCCAGAAGTCCAGCAGCTGCTCTCCTCAGCTCCCAGACATTTACAGAGTAAAAGAAGAACGGATGCTACTTAGTGGGAAACGTGGCCCTGTCCCAACATTTCTTGAAATGGTACTTTTTATTTTTAGTTTAAACACTTGATATGTTTTCTGTGTTCTATTGTGCAGATCATTCCATTTATTTATTTATATTTCATGCAGTGTCCCAACTTTTTTGAATTTGGGGTTGGCTGTAGTGAATGTGAGACTGTTATTATTGTTATTATCATCATCATATATCTATTTATATTATTACATATTCAATTCCTTTGATCTACAGAGTTCTAACGCTGCACCATAAAGGCAGTGACATTTTCCTTTATCACTCTGACCCACAAACGTCATCCTGCTGCAGGAAGAGCATGCCACAGCTCTAAATATAATCATGGGACTAATGGATGCCGAAAGAAAATTCCCTCTCAGATGCATTACTGCCTTCAACACACTGACCAAGAATGAATTCCAAACTATTTTACATATTTGTGATGTGCTTTTACAGACTTTCATCTCCAGTATAGAGCCAAAGAGCTGTACAGAGATTATTGTGAAATGCTTTTCTTTCATTAAAAAAAACCAAAAAATGAGGATTATGTTTTGAGAAAATTTTAAAATATTTTTTCTGTGCAGAAAAAAAGGTTTTATACATGAAAAAAACCCATCTAGAGTTGGGTTTCCCTGCCAATGAACAATGACGTACCTTTGAATTTGTCAAAGACACTCTTCTCCTCCACCGTCTCTCCCTGTCTCTTCTTCATGCTCATGTGGAAGTGGTTCAGCATGACCGTCTGGAAGATCAGGATCTTCACACTCTGAACAAACCTCGGCTGTTTCTTCCTCACAAACTCCACCACTGCATCCACCATGGCATCAGCCACCGCTGAAGGGCTGACCCCTCCCTGACCTGACAGGCAGACAAGGACCAAGTGATGATGATGGTGATGATGAAAGGATGGAAAGAGGATGAAGAGTACACTTTGTAGAACTCAGCACAGCAACAATCTCACACACATCACCAACAAACCAATGCTTCATGGCAGAGGTGTCCAGCTCCAGGCCTTGAGGGCCGGTGTCCTGCAGGTTTGAGATGTGTCCTTGATCCAACGCAGCTGATTTAAATGGTTAATCTATGGTTTAACTCATAAATCCCTCCATAAACTGCAGTTAGTTCAAAATACAGCTGCTCGTATTATTTCCAGAACTAGATCCAGTGAACATATAACACCTGTTCTTAAACAGCTCCACTGCCTCCCAGTTCACCTCCGTGTCAATTTCAAGATCCTGCTTCTCACTTTCAAAGCGCTTCATAACCTCGCTCCTCCATATCTATCCGATCTTCTCCATACATACTCGCCCCTTCGTACACTCCGCTCTTCTTCAGCTTCCCTTCTGTCTGTTCCACCTGCTCGACTGACTACCATGGGACTCAGAGCCTCTAGTTGTTCTGCTGGACTTTCTTGGATGCCCTGAAGCCTTCTTAACAAGAACTGAACCTCTTTCCTTGAAGCCCTTGATGATCCTATAAATTGTTGATTTAGGTGCAATCTTAGTAGCCACAATATCGTTGCCTGTGAAGCCATTTTTATGCAACGCAGTGATGGCTGCAGCTGCACGCGTTCCTTTGGAGGTCACCATGGTTAACAATGGAAGAACAATGATTTCAAGCATCACCCTCCTCTTAACATGTCAGGTCTGCCATTCTAACCCAATCAGCCTGACATAATGATCTCCAGCCTCGTGCTCGTCAACATTCTCACCTGAGTTAACAAGACGATTACTGACATGATCTCAGCAGGTCCTTTAATGACAGCAATGAAATGCAGTGGAAAGGTTTTTTTGGGATTAAGTTAATTTTCATGGCAAAGAAGGACGATGCAATTCATCTGATCACTCCTCATAACATTCTGGATTATATGCAAATTGCTATTATAAAAACTTAAGCAGCAACTTTTCCAATTTCCAATATTTATGTGATTCTCAAAACCTTTGGCCACGACTGTAGAAGGGTTAGTTAGTGTGTCTCAGCTCTGCATTAAAGACATCTGTTGTGACACAAACCCTGTTCAGACTTTAGCTTTGTAAGAGTAGTGTGATTCACCACCCATACTGATGGTTTATGGAACCGTCCATGAACCATCAGCTGTTTGCACAGTGAATCAGTGAACTGAGTATAAAGTTTGTACAGACCTGTTCCCAGGGCTGGGAAGGCCACAGAGCTGAACTTGTTCTCCTCACAGACCTTCAGCACCGAGTAAACCATGTCTTTAATGTTTTCAGGGTCGTTCTGGCCGATGACGTGAATGATGTCCCCGCTGGGCAGGTGCCTGGCTGATGTCAGGATCAATTCATGAGGCTGACCCACGGAACACACTGCAGAGAGGAAACACACAACACTTATAACAAAAAGGGTCAGATTTACTCATAATACTGTGTGAGCTCAATGCCCAAATAGCGTTCATAGGTGTGGTTACTTTAATGAGGATTTACAAACGTTGCACAGCTTTCTAAACACAATGTGCAGCCAGCTCATTTCAATGTGACATTATGCCAAGAGCCGAGCAATTCAGTGCAAGGTCGTAATCTCAGAGATGATATTCTGTTGTGAGTAACCACTTATCAGGACAGGCACAGCTTGTTAATTGTGATCAGAAAAGCAAATCATTATAGGTCATACATGGTAAATGTAGGCCTATGGTGTCAGTCTGGCAGAGCGAGCTGTTATAAAGAAAACAGATTTTGGTAAATGGCAGGCTCCGATGTAGGACAGCAAGGCCTTTGACGATATTTTGAAATCACTGTAATATTCTTCTATCCTCTGTGACTGGTGGTGTTAACAGAACCAACACAGTTTTTCTCTCCTGGATTCGTTTAGTTTTAGTTTTAGTGTGTGTGAGTAATCGATTATTCACAGGCGCTGTTAAAGTGAACGTAGAAGCCACAGTATGTTTAAAGACCTGGAAAAACTTTTATTGTCGCTGGTTTTGCACGACTATTTTAGGTTCGAGGTTTCAAGTCGTCTCTGAGTTCACTGAACTTCGAGCTTAGAGGTCGGTAATATACGGTGCATGTTTTTGTCACATCTTTGTCTAGCGTTACAAATAATTAGCATAAGTAGAAAATTGTCTCACTTATCTAGCTTGCGATCTTAAATATCAAATCGTATTTTGTGATGAAAAGTGAAAACACTGGGAAAGATCCAGGCTTCGCTAAAAACTTGGGGCTATATGAAATATTAAAAGAAATCATTTAATGAATTATGTTTAGGGTTGTGAGGAGATCGAGTCTGTCCCTCTGTGGAAATAAATATCAACACATTGTCAGTTAGAACTGCTCAACTGTATGAATTTGAAGCACAGAGGTACTGAGGGAACTGATTATTGTCGTTCCATGTACACACCAATCTGAGCACACTCCAGCTCAACTGCTATTCCAGCGCCTTCCAAGATCGCCCTGGAGACTCCTGCGGAACAATAAGAGGTCCAGTCAGACGTTACACTGTCAGAGAATTAAATACAGACCACAAAAAATACATTTTCAAAATACTTTCGATACATGCAGCTGTGGTTACTCAGCTGTAGAGATAAATATACTGATACATATAACAAACGAGGATATCTCTGTTTTTTTAGCATAAGCACTGAAAAACAAACACTGACCTGCTTTAAGGTTAAAGGTTTTATTCGAGGAGTTGACAATGACATCACTCATGTCTTTGGTGATGTCACCAGATGACACCTCAAGGGTGAGCTGACCCATCTGCATCTGGTACACACCGAGGGAGGTGGACAGGACTGGACCGAAGGAGGCTAAGACACACACACACACACACGCACACACACACACACACACACACACACACACACACACACACACACACCATTTTTATGTAACTTGGCATATATCAGCCTTTTCTCTTTTATCTATTGTGGATAGATGACCTATTAAAACTGCTTCTGTGTCAAGTTATGTCTAGGCAAGACCAGTTCATACCTTAGGTGCCTTTTTTATGCCTGAATAATTTATAGGTCAAAAAGAAAAAAAAGATGAGCTTCAAGGACTAGACTGAAATTGTCTCCACTTTAAAAATGACTACAAAGACTCTTTGGAAGCAAATCTAAAGAAAGACTTTTGAGCAGTTCTTTATCACCAACAGTCACATCAGGGCTGTTAGATCTTTATAAAACAGTGACTACCACCAGTTTGATCTGGATGAACTTTAAATGAGTTCAATTCAGTGCTTTAAGCCTAAATACTCAGTAAATCATATATTAGAGAAGGCTTCTGCTCGAGTTTTTTGTGCTCTCTTAGCACTTCTGAAGGCTCTTACCTGAGGAGTGTTGTGATTGGCTGGCGGATTGATGAGCTGGTAACTTGCCTGGTAACTCACTAAAATCACGTGCTTCATGCTGCATGTTCCTTGCAGCACCCTGACCAGTGAACTCCCTGGAGAAACACTGACAAAGAATATTTATAAGACTATTTAGTATCAATCTCTGTCTAGTTTTTATTTTTTTGTTATTTTTGCACTGCCTAGTTTTTGCTAAAGCAGAATGAAACAGTGTTGACCATGTAAAAAAGAAAAAAAGGAGCTAACACATCAAATTCAACTAATGTCACTAGAAACAAACTGTGTAGCCTGAAATACAACCTGGGTGTATGTTGTTGTATTTGTTAACACAAAATGATTAAATTACCAATTTGGATAACACATTTATTTTATTTCTTGCTGGTGTTAAATGAATACTAAACTTGCTGATCCAAACTTTGTTGTTGTTGTTTTTTTTCTGGACATAAAGCAAAGCATCACCTGTCATGTGTTATTAATGCAACTCACTCTACATTCTTTACTGTTTGGGGCAATACTCATAAATGCTCACTAACATCATGCAAAAAAGGGCTATAAGGGTAATCCATGATACTGGTCACAGAGATTATACAAATACCCTGTTCTTAAAATCAAAAACACTAAAATTCACTGATCTGGTTCATTTTCACCACAAATTATGTATAAAACAAAAAAGAACCTACTTCCTGACAAAATTCTGAAAGCTGTTTTCTAAAACAAATGTTGGAAACAACTTCATGGGAGAATCACATTTAAAACATCCTGTATTTGTACAACATTAAAAAGATTATTATTAGTATTTAGTGATAATTATTAGTACAAACAGAAGAAAGGGATGGGATTAGACACGTGTATGCTTCTTCCTACTCCTTTTTGAACATGTTATTTATTAGGATTATGATTATTCTGTTTTCCTTGTGCTTTGTTTTGATTGGTTGTGTTTTTTCTTTTGTTGTTGAATTATTTTAACATGTTCAAAATAAAGCCACACAATGACAATGACAACTTGTTTGCACTGCAGTGTATTTTTGCTTTAATTACCATTTTTCCCTCTCAGCCCTGTGTTAGATCTGTAAGTCCATATGAACACGGAGTGAAGTGGAGTATTTCTTGCAGCAAAAGAGAATTTTGCAATGAAACAAGTCTTTAACTTGGGAATATACTTGTTTCATATGATTGTCTCAGGAAGTTGAAGACAAACTTTGGAACAAATCTTTCCACCTGACAGTGTAGGTCAGGTCTCACCGTGTCACACATCAGTGTCTGTGTGTTACTCTGTGCTTTCACTCACTAACAGGGTGGGTTTGCTCGTCTCTAGTGCTCACTGTCAGAACATGATAAGCACTTAAACAGCTCCTATCAGAGAGTCACAAACTCACATCCACGGTTTGGCTGTCACTGGGGTGAACGACGATGACCACCTCTCTCAGACAGCGAGGATTTCTGCTGCTGCTGTACGAGCGGATCTCTCTCAGCAGGAGTTTGGACACCAGGGCTCTGGGGAAGCTCAGGTGTCCTGTCCCGATGGCTGGGAAGGACAACGATGCCATCTGACGTTTCTCAGCCTCCACCAGACAGTATCTGACGATGGACGTTAACTCCTGACAAACAGAGATAAGACAAAGTGAAGCTGGACTTCAGTGATATCATAACAAGCTTAATATGCTGTATTACCACACAAATGGTATCAGACATGATGAATGTGGAGCAGAAAAGGACTGTGGTGATCTGAGGCCTTCTGACTGTTTTCTGTCTCGATGTTTGTTATTTGTCCAAAAAGGTCCCGTGTTTATCAGAATCAGAATCAGAATACTTTATTGATCCCTGGGGGAACATTAAGACAAGACAGACAATACGCTAACTAAGAATAGTACAATATATACATATATATACATACATACATACATAAGTCACTCATAAATAAATAGTTGGAAAAGAAACATGTGTAGTTGTAGCAGCAAACAGTGTGTTAGGTGGATGCGTTGTACAGGGAGCCACAGGCAGGAATGATTTCCTGTGTCGTTCAGTGGTGCATCATGGGTAATCTCAGTCTCTCACTGAACGAGCTCCTGTGACTGACCAGCATGTCATGGAGTGGGTGGGAGGTGTTATCCAACATTGTCTTTATCTTGGACAGCATCCGCCTCTCCGACACCACCTTGAGGAGGGTCCAGCTCCATCCCCACAACATTGCTGGCCTTACGGATCAGTTTATTAAGTCTGTTGGCATCTGCGACCCTCAGCCTGCTCCCCCAGCATGCAACAGCATAGAGGATCGCACTGGCCACCACAGACTCATAGAAAATCCTCAGCATTTTCTGGCAGATGTTGAAGGACCTCAGTCGCCTCAAAAAATAGAGACGACTCTGGCCCTTCCTGTAAAGTGCTGTGGTGTTTTTAGCCCAGTCCAGTTTATTGTCAATGTGTACTCCAAGGTATTTATAGTCCTCCACAATGTCAACACTGACCCCCTGGATTGAAACAGGGGTCAAGTGTTTCCTGGTCTTCCTGAAGTCCACGATCAGTTCCTTTATCTTTTTATTATTCAATTAAAAAGAAACATTTCTTCTGAAACATGTAAGTGAGCCTTACAGTTCATTGACTTTTCTTTGTTTAAATGAGGTTAAATCATCCACATTCATTACTACAGATTCAGCCGTCACTGGACCCACATTAATTGTCTAACCTTCAATAAGAAGCCTCACCTTCTCTGCCTGGCCACCTGCGTTGTCCCAGGATGGACAAACAGCATGAAAGACTTTGAGACATGTGAGGTTGTAGCCGTCAGTGATGACGACTTCCCCGTCTCGCAGTGTGTCCCTTCTGGCTTCAGAGTAGATGGCGTCCTGCAGACTGCCTCCAGCCGCTGACAGGATGGCTTTGGACACAGCTCCCTGCCTCAGATTCATGTCCTCTGAGATGGTGTTGACGATGACATCAGTCTGTGGAACAAAAGCAAAATGGCACAAAGCTTAGGCTTGAACAATCAACGGTTCACGCAAAAATACAAAAACATTTTATGATTTTCATTTTCATTTTCATTTTCATTTTCATTTTTCATTTTCATTTACTTTCAATTTCATTTTCATTTCATTTTTAAAACCAAATGGCCGAGGAACTAAATGTCTGCACAGTGTGGCAGACGATACCAAACTGCTTACAGCAAAGCAGGCGTCTGCTCAGGCTGGCCGGATTAGATTTTGTAAAAGTTAAAACAGCAAAAACAACCCTGAGCCAAATATTCAGCCCCACAGTAAAAGTTTCCCCTTTGATATTTCACATTAAATGATAACAATTCTTCACAGATGTATGGTAGGAACAGTGTAACACAGACTGTTATAACTATACTTTTTGTTTTAACCTAAATCTTAAACATGCGAATTACTGCAAATTGTATTCTGGTTAATGGGTTTGAGATTTTGTATTTTAACGTCTTTTGTGATGTAAACTGTTGTGGTTCTGCTGTGTGGCAGACAGGATGAGGACCCAAACTGAGGACACAAAAGGTAAACTCAAAGCAGCAGCTTTATTCGCTAAAAAAACCTCAAAGACTAAATAGAAGAACCAAAACATGAAACTAGAAGCTAGGACACTAAGACTCAGAATATGTGAGTCGAGGGAAATAGAAACAAAGGGACTTGGAACTGACAGGAAGTAACAATGGGACTCAGGAGCATAGAGAAAACACACAGCAGTGTAAGGGCACGACACAACAACGCACGGAGGAAAACACAGGGCTTAAATACACCAGGAAGTAATGAGGGAAAGGAAACAGGAGGGAAGCACAGCTGGGGCTAAGCTGACATAAGGAGACAAAAGAAGAAAAGCAAAATACACTGACATAGGACACAGACTTTCAAAGTAAAACAGGAAATACACGAACGCAGAGGCAAGGATGACAAGGAAGACACAGAGAACATCGAGACCTGTAATGTGGGACAGGAAGGCAAAGAGTAGACATAACAAGGAACACAGGGGAGGCACGTTAACAAAACCTAAAGACTAGAAATCAGTATATATGAAGGAACTTCGGGAGCTAGAAATACAAAACAGAAGCCAAGAGACTAGTAATGATGAATCATGATGAAATCAAAGATTAATAACAACACAAAACCCTGGGTCACCGATCCAGGACCAAGACATAAGCAAGGCGAATGTCTCGGCCATTAACGGGTGCGTTTTGGATCTGATTTGAAACTGACCTGTTAGCAGTGCTAAGTATTAGCAGACTGAAATGTTTGCATTGCACTTCTGCTCATCAGGTCAGGTTTGTTTTTTTTTAGCTTGGTGGAGATGTTGGCATCGGGAACCAGAGACTGTTAAACCGAGATGACTAAACACCCAAAGCAGAAATGAGCTTCGTTCCTGTTGGATCAACTCATATTCCAGAGATAATTAAAGCGATTCACACTTCTGTACTGTGATGAAACTAAACCATCTCTGTTACTGTGACACACAGAGGGCTGACACCAAACTGTGAATGTAGATAGTGATCTGATTCTGTGTTTTCAGCATCGTAATTCTCTCTCTCTCTTTGTTTTTTTTTTTTTTGCTGTTGTATCAGTAATTCGTAAAGATAGTATTCAATATTTTATTTAGGGGTATCAGAGTAAAGGTAAATATAAATGCACGCCACACTTTTCAGATTTCTATTCGTAAAAACACCAGGTATAAACACTTCACAATTATGTGCTACTTTGATTGACCACTCTCACAAAAATAGAAATAAAATACATTTATGTTTGGGGCTGAAATGTGACAAAATGTGGAAAAGTTGTGAAGAGTTGTGAATACATTTTCAAGGCACTGTGTTTATCCTAGTAATCTGCAAAGTTTGAGAAGTAAAGACTAATAAAAAGACGTGTGATAAGCAAAGGAATGTGAGTGGTCAGATAGGGGTCAACAGAGAGTGATCAACAAAGGACAAAACTATAAAGATTTTCTACAAATTGTAATAATCTAGAATTCACCTTTAATCTTGGTTTTTATGTGTATGTGATCTAATTCTATGTTCTCATGTTATAATTAGCACTAAATAGCAGTTTACAGAATCCTCTCAGTCGTGATCCAAACAGCACCACAGGTACTCACAGTCTGGTCCTCAATGTTTCCCCTGCACAGAATGATCTTCAATCCCTCAGCCGTGGTCTGCTCCAACCTACACCCAATCAGATAACAGAACTGATGACATCACACTATGGCAGAGTTTTATACAACCAAAGAAAAGAAGATGAGGAACCTTACCCTCCGTGCTCTCCGTGGCTGGTGTGTTGCTTGGGACTTTGGCCTCCCCTGTTACCCTGATGATTTCCCCAAGATTCACCTCTTCCTCCTTGTCCTCCTCCTCGTCCTCGTCCTCTTCCTCCTCCTCGTCCTCCTCCTCTTCCTCCTGTTTCAGACCAGCTGGCACCATGTGACTGGCTCTGACCTTGTTTGCCTTGACCTTGGTGATATCCACTGAGAAACAATTTTAAAATATTTAAGTTCACTTTGTTTTAATAAAAAAATAATCAACTTACATGCTGCATGTAAGTTTCTTTGCAAGCACAAACCCTGTGTCAACTATCTTGGTATCAAAATAAAGCTAACACTTCATCAGAAGTTTAAATATTACAGTAGATGTTGCTGAAACACAGAAAAAGTAAGTTAATTTTTTTCCTCGTCTATTTTATTTTTGGATTTTATTGCATATAACCAATGTTGAGTTGCACACAGTAAAAATTCATTATTAAAAAACTTTAACATTACCCTGAAGCTCCTGTTCGTTTCCCGCCTGCTTGCTGTGGGATGGTCATGGTAGGTCCGAGGTCAGAGAACTCCTTGCTCACAGCTGTGGCCATGACTCTGACGGTCGTATCGTTGTTGTCCACCAGGTGAATCTCAGTTAATGATCTCAGACCTTGTGGGCTGTCACAGTGCTCCCGAACTGCCTGGGCTATGGTCTCAGCACAGAGGTCAACAGGGAAACCAAAGATGCCCGAGCTGATCGCTGGCAGTGCAATGCTGGAGCAGTTGGCCATCTCTGCTTGTCTCAGACTTTCTCTAACGGCAGTCTTCAGGCGTGACACTGACGTCTTCTTGTCAAATTCAGAGAATCGTGGACCAACTGCATGGACAACATGTTTGCAAGGCAGGTTGTATGCATCTGTTATGATGGCGTCACCAGGACGTAGACGTCCATTTTTAGCAACGTAGTCGCTGCTTTCTCTCTGCAGCTGTGGTCCTGCAGCCTTTAGCAGTGCCAAAGCCAGGCCACCAATGTGGTCTAAGTCCTCATTAGCTGCATTGACCACAGCGTCCACACCAAAGCTGCAGATGTCCACCTTACTGACAGAAATCAGTACTCCGCTGTTGGTCTGCACTCTGCACAGGGTAGTTTCTCCTCCATAATTCTCTACTTCTTCTTCTTCTTCCTCTTCAATCTCTGGACGAAGGAGAATCACACATCCTAACTTATTCATTATTGTAGACAGGAACATGCCTCCTTGGTTTTGGAAATATTTCTTTGCTCCGGGCTTGTCCACAGTTAAGGTGTCAGTAAAGAGAGCACTGGCCAGTCCCATAAAGCAGGATTTGGTTTTCTGGACATGAAGACGAGCTCCAGCAAAGCTGATTCTTGGCCTCTCTACATCAAAATTTACTGACACATCATTGTCTTTGGCAATACTGGACCATTCCTCTGTCTGTTTCCCTTCAATAAACTTAACAGCAGCACCGGATTGAACATCAAATAAATTCTTGAACTTGTGAGTAATTCTCAATGAACTCCCTCAGACTATGACTGACCTCTTTCACTGGATCAACAAAACCAGCCACTGTTATTTTTCTCTCTGGGTGCATCTGAATGGCCACAGTTTTTTTCTTCGATAAGTTGAAGATATCCAGCAGGTTTTGTTTCAGGTCCATCCAGGTAGGGAGTTTTAGAACTTCCGGATCTTCCACATTTACAATCTGATGAGCCAAAGCAGCCTTCATCTTACTTTCCGCATCAGCAAGGATTCTGTCAGAATTTCCAAACAGCAGAAGTCCTTTGTTGTCAATGGTGTAGACTGCACTGATGCCTTGAGATGCGAACAGATCCTGGGACATGTCCATGGGATCCAATGTTCTGAGAAAGTCTAGAAGACATGGGGGAACATTCTGTTGTTTTTTACTCATATTCACATTCCTCTCCAAGATCCATGACTTAGTCTTGAAGACCTCTGCACTGAGCCCTGTAATGGTTAACTTCTGGGTGCCTTCATCATAAGAGAGTTTCATCTCAGGAGAAATGTCCAGAGCAGCTGTCTGGAGCCCTTCCTGTTTCAGGACGTAGAAGATTGCGGGGAACAAAATCATTTCCTCAGAGACGCTGTTTGTCTGTCGTTCAATGTGACTCATGGCTTTAAGAAGAATGTTCTCCACAGAAGCCCTGATTCGTTTTATATCATCAGCTCGGCCAGCAACAGTCAGAACCCCTTTGGATGCATCCAGCACCAGGATGGCATCTTCCTTCACCACCGAACGGACATCTTTCTCTGCAGCTGTCCATCCCAGTGCATTTGCTTGACATTCAAATGATGTGTACTGAGACATCAGGCGACGGAAGGCCTCTTGGACCTTATTCATCCAGTTTTTTACATGTTCTGCAGTCAGATCTTGCTGCCTCAAAAACTCCGGCACAGGGCTGAGTTTCAGTTCAGGGTCATTCAAATCCACTCTGCAGAAGTGTGGACGCATCTGATCATTGATGTGTTCTGATAGTTTCTTCTCCACAAGGAATTTCCAGATAACGTGGTGAACACGCTCTGTGAAGGGCTCGGGCATCTTCCATGTTGGGCGTTCTTTGCTGTACAAGGCGGTTCCCAGTGACTCGTAGTATGGATATACCTTCACTGTGATAGATTTCATCTCGAGGTCTTTTTTTACACAAATCTTTTCCACAACTGCAGCAAACAAAGAGCAGAGAAGCAAAGGTTAGGTAAGTGGTGTTAAGGGGATTTTTTAAAATGTTTCTATAAAGATTTATCCAAGTCACAAGGGGTTTTGAACCTTTTTTTATCTGACATAACCCCACAGACATAAAACATTCTTCTATAACTCCTTTCATATTCAAATTATTTCATCCATCCATCCATTCGCTTCCGCTTATCCTTTCCAGGGTTGTGGGGGGCACTGGAGCCTATCCCAGCTGTCATAGGGTGAGAGGCGGGGTACACCCTGGACAGGTCGCCAGAACACTAACACATAGACGCAGGCAACGATTCGCACTCACATTCACTCACAGATTCACACCTATGGGCAATTTAGATTAATCAATTAACCTATCCGTCAGTCTGCCCCAGGGCAGCTGTGGTTACAACTGTAGCTTGTCTCCACCAGTGTGTGAATAGGGTTAGGGTCAGGACCCTCTTGCTGTGCGGCTACCGTGCTAACCACCGTGCTAACCAACATGCCACCGTGCTAAATAAACCTTTAGGGTCGCTGAAAGTGATGATGGCAGCCTGTTCAGTTGGGATCATGACAATTTTGGCCGGCAGAGTCCAGGTCTTCTCAAAATACAGCTCCAGCATGTCTAGAAATAAGACAGAAATACACAATTTTACAGCTGCTTAAAGGATAAATTCAATTTCTAAAGGTTCGTCTCCATGAAATTTGACAATAACGTGAGGTTTGTGTAATGATGAATGAGCTCAGGAACAGCAGAACCCCCCTCAGGACATCCAGCATTCATTGTAAATAACATGACATAACTCTTGTTTTAAAACACATATTTATGCCGTAAATAAAAGTCAGCTCAAACTGACAGATATAATTTTTCCAAAACATCACAAAAAACTCTAATAATATAGAATCTACTACGTGTGAGAATCTTTTTTTTTCTGCAGGTGTTTTTCTGAAACAGTTTTGGCAAGAAATCCTGAGACATGCTAGGATCTACAATTCTAATAATTCATCCCATATATTGAAAACACACTGTAATATGTGCTGAACCTCACGAAAGAGGAAAAAAACAGATCTGTTTTTTTATTATATTACACACATATTACAGTGTGTTTAAAGAAATTTAAAACCCGGATAATGTGAAATGGTAACAACAAAAAAAGAAAACCAGGAGAAAAGGAATCATCAACAAATATGCAACAAAGCTTTAAAATACACACAAATACACACAATCAGCAAACTCACATGAATCTAGTCCCTGTCAGGGCTCTTGCTGCAACATTTTGGATCAACTGAAGGCTTTTCAGGGAGTTTGTAGGACTTCTGATAATAATGAATTACAGTCGTCCAGCCCGGTTAGATACCATATTTCTAAGATTTTCAGGGCCGAGTACAATAACCTCAGTTTGATCTGAATTAACAGAATTGCCATCCAGGTCTTATGTCTTAGACATTCCTGCAGTTTAACTCATTGGTGTGTGTTATCTGGCTTCATGGACAGATAGAGCTGGGTGTCATCTGCATAGCAGTGTAAATGTATGCTGTCTTCTAATGATGCTGCCTAAGGGAAGCATGTATAATGTAAACAGAATTGGTCCTAGCACTGAACCCTGTGGAACTCCATAATTAACCTCAGTGTGTGAAGAGGACTCTCCATTTACATGCACAAACTGGAGTCTATTAGATAGATATGATACAAACCACTGCAGTGCAGTACCTGTAATACCTACAGCATGTTCTAATCGCTCTAATAGGATATTATGGTCGACAGTATCGAACGCTGCACTGAGGTCTAGCAGGACAAGCACAGAGATGAGTCCACTGTCAGAGGCCATAAGAAGATCATTTGTAACCTTCACTAAAGCTGTTTCTGTGCTGTGATGAGCTCTGAAACCTGACTGAAACTCTTCAAATAAACCTCTGCAGATGATCTGTTAGCTGTTTGACAACTACTCTTTCAAGGATGTTTGATATAAAGGAAGGTTGGAGATTGGCCTATAATTAGCTAAGACTGCTGGGTCTAGAGATGCTTTTTGAGTAAAGGTTTAACTACAGCCAGCTTGAAGGCCTGTGGTACATAGCCGATTATTAGAGATAGGTTGATCATATTTAAGATTGAAGAATTAATTAATGGCAGGACTTCTTTGAGCAGTTTTGTAGGAATGGGGTCTAAAAGACACGTTGATGGTTTGGAGGAAGTAATTATTGAAGTTAGACTTTTATATACAGTCTATGGTTTTTAGGAGCATATGTACCTTTAACCACAGCTGGAGAAAGACTCTCCACTCGGATGTCCGTTGCTGCCTCCAGAGGCCGAGCGGTCAGTCCATGTTTCTTCATCTTTGAGCTGGTCTGACTTACAGAGAGGAATCTCTCCACATCTGCAAAATAATCCAGATTAATCCTTTCAGACTTAAACTGTTTCATCAGAGGATGAGAGACAGAGCTGGGCTATAAAATGTCAGATTTATTTATTTTAGTGTTATTTCTAATAGAACTTGTTTCAAGGTTAAAATCAATGTTTAATCTCAAAGACTGAGCCAGCATTCACTGATATCAGCTCTACAATGTTTGTAAGGACATTTGAAAGACACGGTTTGAAAATATAAACATCTTAAAGCAACATTTCCAAAATGGTAAATGGCCTGTATTTGTATAGCGCTTTTCTAGTCCTTAAGGACCCCAAAGAGCTTTACACTACATCCAGTCATCCACACCATTCACACACTGGTGATGGCAGCTACATCGTAGCCACAGCCACCCTGGGGCGCACTGACAGAGGCGAGGCTGCCGGACACTGGCGCCACCGGGCCCTCTGACCACCACCAGTAGGCAACGGGTGAAGTGTCTTGCCCAAGGACACAACGAATGAGACTGTCGAGCCGAGGCTCGAACCGGCAACCTTCCGACTACAAGACAAACTGCCAACTCTTGAGCCACGATCGCCCCAAAACATGAGAAATGAGATCTGGGGTTGAATCCAACGTGAACACTGAGCTCAGACGTGGAGTGAAAGGTTATACAGAGGAAAAAAGTAACCCACATGTGCCTGAAACAGCGTACATTAAGATAACAGTTTTTTATATTTCAAGTTTTGTAAAATCGTATATTAAAATAATTATTCAATTATTATCTTATAGTTTTATTAAAATTTTCTGTAAATATGGACAAATCTGCACAATTTCTCTGAGTGCTGCATAAAGAGAGTTTTAAAATGTAAAATCTGAATCAAAGGTTTTAACAAAGTAGATCTGGGATGCCTGCCCTGTAGTGCCTCGATGTGTTTGTGTGGGAGGAAAAGTCCAGGTGTGTCCTACCTGCAGGGCTTTTGAATGTGACCACGGTGCTGTTGGATTCCCAGATGTTCTCCATGCTGTAGCCGTTCTCATCCAACCCGGAGATGTTCTCCACCAGCATGGAGAGCAGATCTGTGGACATGTTGTCTGTGACGTTTTCCAAAACCACCGCACAGCTCTGAGATGACTCTGAGTCTGAGAGAAACACGAGTCAGAAACAGCCCATCAGTGTTGGAGGAAAATGATTCTTGATTCCAGGCTGGTGTTCCCTAAAACTTTCCTTCATAGATTCAGAGAATTTGAGACTAATCAGATCTGACTTTGTTCACTTAAGACTGAAATCACGTGTCCGTTTCCATAACACTAGGGTGTAAGTGCTTATTATTTATTTCTAATAAAAATATTTTAATTGTGAGTCATTCACACTGCTGAGTAAACCTCTTTCACACAACGACTACAGGCGTGAACCTGCGACACTGAGAGTCTGTGACGACCAGGTGAGCCGCATGAGTACAGTGCAGGTCCAGTGTGTGCAGTAGTGAGCCAACCTCTGAAGAGGGGGATCCACTCCATCAGGACCACATCTTCATGAACAAGAACTCATCAATAAGACCTGAGAGTCTCATGAACACTGACATTACATAATATAGTAACAAAGTCACCCCCCTGTCTTGATGCATTTCTCTATCCCGACTATTATATCTGCACACACAGCACATTTACTCCACACTGTGAACATCAGCACACATGCTGCTGCTCTGTTCACACGTGCTCACAACTGGACTTCACACTGGTTTTAATACATTTACTGTGTCACTCAGACATTTAGCTCATGCTAATGTTCACTGCAGTGCATGTGTGACCACAGCTTTTAACAGCAGAGGAATCCAGTGGAATTAAAACAAAGTGTCACATACAGAAATATTAAATTTGAACCAGCTCCAGCTTTGATGAGGCACTGTGGCACAGTTTTCACAAGTTACTGTCACAACATTTGTTCCATCAGTTTGTTTTTACCCTCTTTGTTGGCAGCAGCAGCTCCACTTCCAGGTTCAGCCGGAGGCTTCTTTGAGTCTGTCGATGAGTCTGAGAATCAAGAGGATCCAGTTTGTCCAGTTTAGAGTAATGATCAGCAAACATGAACACATCGAACCACAGGAGCTCAGAGAAAAGCTCAGATGAAGCTTGAACACATCAAACTGATTTAAAGTTGATCTTATTGTTTTTCTTCATAAAAACGATGAATAATCAGTCAAATCAGAACATGTTTAACAAACGTATCTGACATCATGACAAATCATGATGTGAATGTGCTTCAACTTAAATAAAGTCCAGTAAAATCTCCCTTCAGTACCACAAACAATCACTGCAGCTCATTTTACACAAAGAAGCTAAAAAAACTAAATAAACTGTGATGATGAAAACTGAGGAGAGGAGCTGAGGAGGAGGATTTACCTGAGACATCATCGCTGCTTGTTGGGCTCTGAGAAAAAACAAAAATAAGATTTAATCTAAAGAAAAAATCTGCAATCAGTTTAATGAGTATTTCAAAGAGTTTTGGTCAAGAAAAGAACAACATTAACCAAAATCAACACAAAGTTGACCAAAGCACTGCAAATCAAATGTTTGACCTCCTGCTGGCACCAGCTCACAAAGTCAGAACATCGATCAGTCCTGCCGATGGTTCGCATGAGAATGACGTCAACTTTGTGATCAAAAGTTTAATCAAAAGTTTTTATCAAGCATCTGTGTAGGACTGGACCTCTTTAGGCTTGTAAAGATGTTTCGCCCTCATCGAGAGGCCTCTGAGAAGAAGGTTTGAGGAGCCATCTGTGCCCACTGTGGATGGAGCTGCTGAATCAGGACTCCAGCTATCAGCCACCTGCAGTCCAACCCCACACTCACACATTTGTTCAGGTGATCCCAGTAAGTCATATAAAGGTGGGGTTGGTACATCGAGAGTGTTAACGACCCTCAGACCATCTCCACTGGAGACAGCCCGCACTAGGGGTTATTTACACTCCACCAGCTGATTTAGAAATGAAGAAGCTTTGTGGATAAGAGGAGAAACGTCTCCACAGACCTGAAGTTTGTGTTGTGAAGTCGCTGTCTTTGTGTGACACACTTTGTGATGTGAAATTATTTTACCTGAGAGATGCAGGAACAAAAGAAATATGAGTGTTTTTGTCTCTTCAGCAGGAAGTGACAGCATTAGCGGATCACCGGCTGAGACTCTGTCACAGTCCTGGCTGTGTCTCAGCACGGAAGTAGCTGTAAGTAATCTGGGCGCTACAGCTTTAAGCAGCTGCGCGCTCCCGCGGACGGTGATCACTTTCTGGCACAACATCTGGAGCTAAGGGGGCAAAACAATCAGTGCTGCTGTTTGACTGAGGAAGAATAAAGTAGTCGTGGTAAACCAATCACATGACCACTTCAAGATGACAAAGCAACAAGGTGACATATACCAGTTTATAAACTGTGCTGATAGGACATGTAAAACCAGAGTCATGATAAACAACATATGGAGGGTTTTCAAGTCAATAGCTTGATATGAATTATATTATCATCACACTAACCTCAACTGCGTCCTTTCCTCTGATAACTTCCTGCATTGTTCTCCCTGATTTGTAATAACTTTTGGCAGTCTATAAAACTGCAAATGTTTTTCACAGTCTGACCGATTGGTACAGCCCAAAACACGTGCATGTCCGTGCTTTGTTTAACTCCAGTATCTCCAATATGGCGATTTCCGGTTTGATGAGATGCCGTGAAAACCCACTATACGCGTGTTTTTCCCTCAATAGTTTCGTCACGTTTACTGTCTAAGGACAGCGCAGCGAGCACTCTCTGCTTATGAGCAACAAACAAACAAACAAACAAAAAAACAGGCCATTCGTGTTGGTAGAAAAATGCACCATGTCGACCAATCAAAAATGACATTTGTTTGTTTAGGAAGAGAGAGCGAGCAAGACAGCAGAAAGAGAGAGAGAGTGTTTTGAGACGTGAGAGATTTGTGAGGTTTAGTGTGTTCTGAGTGTGTACTTAGTGTGTAGTGTTGTGGATAGTTGTATGTTGTGTGTCAGAACAAAGAGGTGACTGCTGTCTCCAGGTATCAGGCTGGGATGTTCTCCTATAAAGTGGACACAAATAATTTGTGTGGCATCTTATTAGATGCAGAACAGCTGATTGTTCTGTAAATAGTTTGAAATTGTTATTAAAGAAAAAGGGTAAAAGTTAAATGGCTGCAAATAACTTTGTTGTTTGCAAAACTTGAGCATATGATTTTAAAATTTATTTAAATTTATATTTGCATTGAAAGTTATGAAATATGATCATTAAACATGTTTGTGGTTGTTACAGTAAAAATATGACTTTTTCTACTCTGATTTTATGTTTTTTGTCTGATTTTAGATCAGTTGTGTGAGTACAGTTTGTCAAAATGAAAACATGACTGTAAATTCAGACACGTGAGGCTGTGCTGATGAGACCAAACAAGACAAATAAACAGTTTTTAAAGGTGAAATGTGGAGGAAACATCAAAGTAGTCAAAAATGGCCGACTATACCCTGGACCCCAGAGGGTTAAACTTTTATTTTAAAGTAACGCAATAGTTACTTTTCAAGTAATTAATTACTTTTAAAATCTTGTAACTCAGTTAGTAACTCAATTACATTTTGAAGAAGTAACTAGTAGCTATAATTATTTACTTTTTCAAAGTAACTTTCCCAACACTGCTTATATATTGTGTGTTCTTTGCTCGTGACTGGTCCGTCTGTGTCACCGCTGCACGTCTTCCCCGTGTTGCCTCAGCGTCGCCTCCGTCAGCTTTCCCCGTGTTTCCCGGTTCCTCATCCCTCAGGTTGTGTTTATGCTTAGCTTTCCTCGGTGGAGGTTTGCTTAGTTTTCTCTGTTCCACCTGTTTGCAGTATTGATCAGCTGTAAAAACTCACTTTCTGTCCAAAACGTTCTCCTGCATCCATGTCTGCATTTGGGTCCTCATTCATCTATAATTCCACATGTCTGACAGAAACATGTCTGATTACGACCATCTGACCTGTGTGACTGTGAAACTTCATTCTTTTATTCCCAGCTTCAGTGTTTTTCACCAGGCTGTCCACCTTTAAAACCTGCATCTGTATCTGAGACTCTCTGGTTTAAATTTGGGAAACTTTGAACACAGCAGATCGTGCTTCTCTTTTAATCCACGACAGCTTTCCTTCACCTCATGTTTCTCCAAAAATCCAGGAAGGTGATTTTAGGAAAAGAAGAAAGGACATTACATCATAACTGTGATTTTTCTTTAAAGAGTCCAGTGTTGACATATTTTAGTCATATTTGGTGACACTGTGGCAGTGAAGGACCCGACGACAGCAGCGTTTAACTTTTTAAACGTCTTTTCTTTTCTAACTTTCCGGCTGCTTCTGCACACACAGCCCTCCCCTCCCAGCAACAGCTTTAACAGGTCAGATATGATTGGATGATGAGGTCAGGTGTGTGAGTCAGACTCCCCTGACACCACACCCTGAAGCCACTGCTCCACCCCTCCCCTGCAGCTCGCAAGCCACACCCCACCACAGTGATTGTTATATGACACTTTAGTGCTCAAACACTAACAGCGCTTTATACAGCACGCCTTGTTTATCCTTTCATACTGTCAGAGCTTTCTCTCTGACACTCATAGTCTGACGGAGAACTACGTCAGGTTAGCACCCTGGCCAAGGATATCAGGCGGGGATCAAACGGATGTGAGAAGTGTAAACTGGGAGGTTTGGAGGTTAAGCTGTGATTTCACTGCCTTATAAACGTGAAGAGAACGTATCATCATCATGTCAGCCAGGCTGGTTATTGCTGGAGTTCAGAGGAGCCACACCCGGTCACACAGCAGCAAAACACACAAACAGCAATGAGGAGGAGAAGCTGAAAGTGGAAGTCAGGCTCCTGCTGCCGTCACACAGCCAGGAGTTTATTTCCACCCATGAAGAAAACACCTTTACAACCTGCCACACAGACTGAAGCTCACCCTCTCGTAAGGACAGCTGATCCCTCCTCCGTGCTGTTATTAAGACTCTTTGGACTGATCAGCACTGAAACAGGAATCCAGCTTTCTTTAATAAATCACTCGCTGCATCACAAACATGAAGCCACTTCAGTGACTCCATGATTATCGATGCTTCTGGAATAAAAATCTGCCAAATAGTTAACTGAAGTTTCACTTACAAAAATAGGGGAAACTATTTTTGCCCCTAAATTAACCCTAAAATAAATCTGATCAGAGAACCAGTGGAAATATTCACCTTCCTTTAATAACTGCTTCGTCCTTTTCTGCGGGACGTTTGTGTTAAACTATTATTTTCCTGTGAAATGAAACTCTGGAGCTGTTTGTGTCCTGAGCTGATAAGAAGCTCAGCAGCCATAAAACTCCTGCGTGGATTATTTTACAGTCAGTACCTGATGTTTCCAGATCTCTGATCAGCTCAGAATCAGAGGACCGAGACTGATGTCACAGTTTTCTGTTTTTAAAGAACTAACTGTGATATTTGTATAAAGGGAGGCGCTCAGTTTATGGAGTCATAAAAACCTAAAGGTGCTTGGTCCAAAGAGCTGAACCCAGAGCAGTGACAGCGAGCAGCAAACAGGAAGCTCTGAGTGATGAAAAACATCCACGTGAAACATCTAAAACTGGACTTACTGCTTCTGAGCTCAGCCGCAACTGGATGGTTTTACTGTCCAGGATGATCTCATGATTCTTCCTCGCGAGGACTCGCTCTCTCACTGAAATCACAGCACACACACACACACACACACACACACACACACACACACACACACACACACACACACACACACTTTTAATGATCAGCTGTTTGTAAGAGAGTAAGAAACTAATCCCTCCCTGCTTCCACTTCCTGTGAATAAAAGCCTGCTTCCTGTCATGTTTTGGTGACAGCTGCTGAGTATCAAAGCCACACAGAGTCCTGGTGTGGAATCATTTTCATGATTTAAATACACGTTTCTAAAAGTGATGAAGGCTCCACGCACGAAGCATGGGAATAAAACCCTCCAGGAGCTCCGCACTGAAGACCAGAGGAGCTGTGCCTCAACAACAACAGGAAGGAGTGGCACTGGAGGGTGAAGTGCATGCCGGGAAATCATCGCAGAGGCTCTGGGTGTTTATTAACCAGCTTCAATAACCGGACAGATGTGACAGTATGAAGAATTTCATATTTTAAAGCTGATGTAAGTCAGCTGCTCTCTGAAACTTTCCTCTCTGAGCTGAAAGGTTAAAAACATGAAGTTTTGAGATCCTTCAAAGCTTTGTGGCCAAACTTTCTCTGCAGTCTGTCCGGTCACAGTGAGACTCTCAGACCTGTTTGTTCCATCATTACACTCGCAGGTCTCCGTCTGTCGGTGTTTTTAATTATTAAATGATTTATTTTACTATCTGAACCACGATGAAGCGCACTCACCCTCCGGTGAGCTGAAGTAAACGGCCGCCCTCGGGGCTCCTTCCTCCGCCTCGATCCGGCAGTCTCCTCCGCCCGACTTCTTCTTGCTCTGGAAGTAAAGCTGTAGTTTGTTCTTCAGGGCTTTGGCCTGAGCCGGAGTCCAGTCCCCCTCCACGATCACAGGCGGACACTCGGATCCCTCCATCCTGCCGTCTGCTCACACACACACGGACACACACACTGACACTAACAGCTGAACACACTTCAAACTAAACTTTACTTTCACTTTTGTTTCTTCACAAAGAGCAAGAACTCCGGAGCCTGACTCACTGTTTATTCTGACACACGAAACTTAACTGTACAAACACGTTTCTTTAACCAGTCGTTCCTTACGTTCAGAATCATTTTACTCTTTTGGGATGAAACTCAAATATTGTTTAAGGCCTTTTGTAATGTTTGAAATCATAAACACGCAGAGAGAAAACCCAGTAAAGAAATGCACGAATACATTTAAGGGTAAAATACTAGAAACCACAGAAAACACCGCATTTAATGAAGCGAGGCTGTAAATGCAGAGTAAATATTATAAACCTGATAATCAGCGCTGTTAATGTGTAACATGCATTAAAAGACAAAAAAAATCTACAGTAATAATTAAAAAATGATTTTTTTGAGGTGACATAATTAAAAGTGAGCATCAGCAGTTTCAATGTAAACTAACATTTTAGATTTAATTATGTTTCATCATTTTAAAAGTGTTGTAAAGGGAAGCTTACGTGTATTGTTTCAAGTACATTTTGTTTTTCTCTATAAACCTGTTAGAGCCAAATACCTCCCCCTGGTGGACACAGCTGCACATTGCGGTGGGTTTTGTTTTGAAATTGCAGAAAGCGAAAGCTGAACATTTAGAAAGATGACCCTCTGTCTCATGACCTTTCGTTCAGCAATCAGCTGATATATTTTCCGTCACCTGACAGAGAGATTACATGCTTGAATTTTACTTCTGACTTTATTTTCTGCAAAATGATCCAAAAACAGGAAGTTAACTAATGACCTATAATAAACATGCATTAGAAGTCTGTCATAGGAGATCATGTGACATTTAGAATAAACAAAATTCATTTCACAACATTAATGACGATGCAGGAAAAGTTATTTTATTGATTTCAAGTCTTTTTGCTGTAAATGAGCTCAAACTGTTGAATGTTTCAGAAATCCACACAAGAACTTTTACAGGTCAGTTCCTGAATCTAAGACGCAAAAATATTTTTCTGACCACATGAGACGATTCAGGCTTCATAAGCCGCTTTGTTTTCACCTGCAGAGGAACGAGAACCGTGGTGAGCATCAGGAGGAGGAAGAACCACTTCAACCAAAACAGATTCAAATATTTGTGCTGCTGTTTAAAATGACTGCTGCCTTGGTGCAGGTGTAGGACACCTGCAGGTACCTGGTCCTTTGAGGCATATTCAGCAAACAGGACGTGACAGACATCTGGTTCCCACAGCTGCACAAAGAGTTCAGTTTGATGATCTGATCTGTGATCAGATTTATGTTCAGTTGAAATGATTGACACGTCTCTCTGTGACTACACTACCCATGATTCTTAGCTGCTCTTAGCTGCATGATTCTTGTGCTGTGCATTAAGAGGGCAATGAGATATTTGAATCATAACTGAGGGGAAAGAGGAATTTTCATATTTCCTGTTTTATTGGGGGAGTCGTGATGTTTTCCAGAAAGGTGGAGCTGTGTGGAGCTGCCGACCACAAGTGGAGGATGGGACGATGGATTTAGTGACATGTTTGTAAGTGCTGCATTTCCACAGTGGAGCAGTCTCATAGCATCACCTCCAGTTACCACACCTGCTGCTGCACATACACACAAATAATGGTTTGGCCCCATTAACTGCTATTCATCGAGGACTGTCTCATTAGCGCCCCCTAGATGAACTGCAGCCAATTTCGTATGAATATTATTGACTGAAGGAATTGTCCATAAATCAGAGTGAACAATCTGACTGTTATAAATGTAAACATCTCAAATTTCGAACGTGATTTAAAGTTCAGTGAGGGATGTTTGTTAGGTTGTCGTTTACTCTGCCCTCAGAGGATTTAATGACTTCAAGTAAAAGAATCATCTATAAGTCTAATACTCGGAGAGAGCTCCATCAGTCATGTGACATCGTCTACAACAAACACAAGGGCTCTCTGGAGACGACAGAATAAAGTTGTGCTGCATAGGTTTCCTTACAGATCCTCCTCCACCTGAGACCAGGGGAGGGCAGCAGGTGCTGGGTCTGTCGCTAACACATCTGCAGAACAAGTGTGACAAAGCAGGACAGAGTTTCATTTCTTAATAATTTGTTGCAATTTAATTTCTTTACTTCAGCTTTGATACAGTAAACTGACAGTAGGGATTAATATGAATTAATGAATATTCGCCTCCGTCAATGCGCCCCAGGGTGGCTGCAATGTAGCTGCCATCACCAGTGTGTGAATGTGTGAATGAATGTGTGGATGACTGGATGTGTAAAGCGCTATATAAATACAGACCATTTACTAGTTACCAATATTTCTGTTAGTTATGTCACATTTGTTGGTCACATATGCTCCACAGGCATCACTTAAAGGACTGCACTGATCATCAAGTCAAGAGAATGCAGGGTTATTTATAAAATATGAAGTTCCATTTGTTACCTTAGCTCGTGGCTAAGATGGAGGTGATTTATAACGTCTTATTGTCCTGAGACTAAAACACACATTTCCAACCCTGTTATGATGTCTGGCATTACACTTTCTTTAACCGTCCGATTCTGGGCAACCTCATCCCACTTTAGTGTTCCCATCATAATTCACCAGTTTTAGTAGCATAACAAACTTTGATCACCAAATTCAGTTCAGTGGGTCTTTCAGGGGGTTGTTCAGCCCCATTAACTCATTACATCACTTCCTATAAATGATGTAACAAGGTTGAGTAAAACACTCAAAATCCAATGAAAGAGGTGATCATCACTTTTATATGTTCAAGTGCACCGTGTGCAGGATTTCATAAAAGAGTCGTACCTTCAGCATAATAATATTTCAGAGATGCAGAGTACATTCATCCAGACTTACTGTCATTTTCTTCGTACTTTGTGCCTCTCAGCCGCCTGACAAAGTCTCTCCCTCAGAGCTGTGGTGGGGGCTGTCAGGACGTGAGGGCAAGAAGGGCCAATAATCCAGTGCTGAAGTTTTACACGTTCATTTGATTTCATCATTTGATTCATGTTGATCATCTGAACAGGTTTAGATCTCGATCAGGCGAAGCAATGAGTTGATTTAAAATAAGTGTTTTCATACCACAGTCCCACAAATACTCAACACACTGATGTTACCCTGTGGTTGACATAATACAGCTGTTGGTGCAACATATAACAGACAAATTTAGGTTCAAACAAAACAGCAAGATTTGATTTACTGTGGTGAAACTGATGTAATTCCACGCTACACCAGAAGGTGACACTGTGTGTTTGTGTCGGCACTAACCTTCTGAGCTTTAGTAGAAGGATTGAAAAAACAAGAGGTACCAGAACACAATCTGATGCATGGCCCTGTTCTACCTGCTAGCCAAGACCAAAGCAACAAAGGCAAGTAGCAGAGGCTGAACAACTCATTCTTTAGAGATAATAAGGAGGTAAACATACACTACATTTGTTATGATGAGGACACTCGTAGACAAACACGTCTGGAAACTCCTCAAATATCAAGCAGAACATTTTTTATCTGGCACATCTGAAGGTGACCAGATTTATACTGTGAAAGCAAAAATACTTGGAGTGATGCCTGCTATGCAGAGTTTTCCTCTCCATTAAAGCTTAGATAGATATAAATAGATAAGATAGATTAGATTGATACTTTATTGATCCAACACGTGAGAAATTCAAAAGTTAGAACAACATAAGTGTCGAAGAGAAAAACTAAAAAAGCTTAAATTTTAATTCAAAAGCCATTGAATTTCCTTTAGTCTATTTCTGTGAGTGGAAAACATTAAATGATAAAGACTCTGCATCTCAAGCTTATCTCATAATCGTTGCTGTATTTTTATTTCATTATACTCATAAACTGCTGATGCACACTGAGCCTGTCATAACTGCTCATAAATGTCTTGATTTGATGACGTTAGTCTCTGTCGTCAGGTGTCTTCCTCTCCCCCGACACACCCTTTGTCCCTGTTTGCATTCAGCTCTCCTTGGTTACTGTCAGGACTGTGCTTTTGTTCACTGGAGGCAAAAATGATGCAACATTAGTTTCTGGTGAGAACATTTAAGATAAATGTGAGCAAATACTGAATAATAACACTGTACAATAAAATGTGATGTACTTCTTAATTACATACGCTCATGTGTTGGTATAGTTTAATTCAAAGTGGTTTTAACATGTAGTTTGACCCTAATGTAACATTTATGGTGTTATCAGGGCTTTTCTTGATGATCCAGGTCTGGGAATAAAAAAATCTGAACACTACGATGGATCAGCACTCATCTTTGCAGAACTGCTGTAATTCAGCCACACTGCTGGGGTTTCTAACTCGGGCAGCATCTCAGTCTGATTTAAGTCTGGATCTCAACTCGGCCACTCCAAAAGCTTCATGGTTTTTTTTTGTTTTGTTTATATATTTATTTATTTTTTTTTTATTTTTTTAGCCAATCAGAGTTGGGGAATTTTGTTTTGGATCATTCTCCTGCTGCATAACCCAATTGGTCTTGAGTTTCAGGGCATGAATTGATGGGTGGACATCCTCCCATCTGCTGTCTGGGGGGGTTCTAGATGTCAGTTATCTGTCTAAAGTCCATAGAAACCAGAACATGAACCAGCTTCCATTTAGAGGCCGAATATTTGGAAGCTGACTATGATCCCAGAGTTGATCCTTGAGATGACAAACTGCCTACACTCTCAGAAATAGAGGTACGAGAGAAGAACATTTTTGTACCTATAGGTACATTTTTTAAAAATGTTCCCTTAAAAGTACAATACTGGTCTTTAAAAGTCCAGAAATGCCCCTTTAAAGGTACAATTTGAAATAAAGTACAAATCTGTACCATTTTGACCTGTACTGCAGTGAAGGTGACAGAATGTGGTAATGGGTCAGCATGGGAAAATCTGGATGGGCCTGGTTAATTGTAAAATTCATATGAGATGTGAGTGTGCTCATAAAAGCTACATGTTATAATCAAATCTGTTGGTCCTCTCCTCTGTACATAAATTATCCTATGATGCAAAGAATATCTGTAACCTACCTTTGTGTAAGTTATGTTAAATTATATTTTAAAAACACACACAATGACATGCAGGCACAACCAAATGATGTTAAAAAAAACTGGTCCATTTCCATTTTATTAAGTTTCAGTTATAATTTTTAATGTTTTAAATCTTGGTTGTAGCCTTCAAAAACGTGAAATCATATTACTGTTATGTTTGGCCATTTACTTTTTCGCTTCGCATGTATCAAGTTCGCAACGCGCATTAATCCCAAAGGCTGAAAAGCCAGCAGCGATGAGTGCTCCGCCTCCGCGCTCACTAGCGTTGAGGCAGAAAATTACTCTCAGGGGGTTATCGATGGAGGAGCTCCTTAAAAAGTTGATGGAAGAAGGCATTGATGTCAGACGACGAGGCGCAAGGGTTTAGAGGTAAGTCGGGTGTGATTTTGTGTTTTTATAAAAATTACAACGTGTAATTTTACAGTAGAGTTAGCAAAAGTCCGAAGAGCTAGCTTTAACATGGGTGAATGCTAGCAGTTAGCTAAGTTTTAAACAAAGAAAGGTACAAATGTGGACTATTTAGACTGTTGGTGGAATATTCAACGTCTGTCTGCCCGCCGTATTCCAGTGTTTTATCAATAAATAGTCACTAACCGTGTACAACAATGTAAAAAAAATCAATAATTTCTCAAAACATGCTAGTATGTAAATATAGGTATTAACAAAATCGTTCTCTAAGCAAAATTCATCCCATCTAACGTGTTTCCCGCTCAAAGGGATTCAATGGAAGGTACACATTTGTACCATTCCACCTACTTAGTGGGATTTGGGATTTTCGAATATGAGAGCTGTAAGCTCTGCGCAGGGACACTGTCTGCAACCCAAGAATTGTTAAGATGATTGGGGAAACGGCTAATGATTTTTTTTGTCTCTAAATCTGATTATTATTATTTTCTGTACTAACTGATTAATCAAGCTGTTTATTAGCTTTAGAATTTTTGTTCAAGGGTTAAAGCACTTTACATTTATCTCCAGTCTGTGTCTTTAAACATGTCAAAAGTTTAAATCCTCAATGTAAAATGTCATTCTTTTGTCTATTCTGCTCTTTTCATTTCCAGTTGTGTGATGAGGTTGATTTAATGCATCCCTGCCAAGACAACATCTGTCGCCGCTTTAGCGAAAACTTCACTGCTGTTCTTCAAATGACCAAGGATTTGCCACTGAAGAAGGTCTACATGGAGGCAAGAGAGAATGCACTGGCTGAAGACATTACAGGTGCTAATTTGACCTCATACAAATAGTAAATTTTGTGACAATTCATTTGCTCTCTCTTCCAAAGATAATTGATGTACCATAGTGTCATGTGAAGAGCATGTTAATGGGAATTTGCATGCTATCAAAATCTAATGAAGTGCATTTGCATCTGTATGACCTAGGAATTGACTTCAAGGGGGCACTTCTCTTGCCATCCATCTTCAAGGAGAAGATAGAAGATTTCATCATCCTTGGAGAGGTAAATGCATGATGCAATGCATAGCCTTTGGCCACAAGTTTCATTCTTGGTGTTTTGTTGGCATGGAGCTGAATTCAGCTGCGGTTCAGCATCACAGCTAAGCTAATGTAGGGGAAACACTGCTGTTAATCCACAGTGCTGCTGTGCTCTTGGGTTTTGTCTGGTGTTTATATAGATAGATAGACCTTTATTGTCCCCTTAGGGAAATTCTTCTTCACAGGTACTGTCACTGTCAGGGGTGATTGCTTTTGCCCTTGAATATTATGTCAAACTTTAGCAGCTTATCAAACACTACCACAACAGTCATTGGCCAAGAAGCTTTTTGTTTGGAGTATGGGCCATGTTTACAGGTTATCAGAATAGACAGTTTTGTTTTCTAGAAAATAAAGAAGGTAATTTGAGGAATCTGTTGAAAATCCACTTGGCACATATTGCTTAAACATACTGTATACTAATGTTTTTCTTCCTCTTCTGCAGAATACTCCCACGAGTCCATACCCAACCATTCGAATGAAGGATAAGAGTTGGACAACTGCCCTCTTAAGACAGTGTCGCCGTGTTGTGACAGTTGAAGGAGTGGATGTTTGCTCGTGCCGCTCGCTGGATGAGGCCTACATCTCAGCATTCTCCACCTTCTTCGTGTTCAACATGACCTACCCTGCATACTTCAAGAAAACACTTGTCTTTCTTCAGAACTGCATTGTCAACATAGGAGACCAGGGAGACAAACCCCTGCCAGTAAGTGTCGCCAGGGTACTTAACCAACTCTATTAAATACGCCCCCACCCAAGTGTCACTACCTTATTGACTACCCAATGCTGATTTTGATGTATGGTCCTCTTCGCCCTTTGTGGTGTATGAGATATGAAAGCAAGCATCAATATTTCAAAAATCTAGCGAGTAAATGCAAAAACTTTGTAAACATCACTGCAACTCTTAGCAATCGTCATCAAATGAAACAGTGCTGGGAGTTTTCTTCAGATAAGTTGCTTGTTGACTTTGAACATTCACTCAGCACAAGTGTCAGTGTGCCATTTTCATCTCTGCCAGGTGACTTACAGAATGCTCTGGAAATGAACAAAAGTTTTACAGATGTGCATTTTCAGGATAAAGTGCTTCAGCGTGTGTCTGCTATATCTGTCAGCAGTGTCAAATATGAACTTGAGGATGTTTTGTAGTTGGCCATGTACACACTGAAGCCATACCTCAATTCTTTAAAATCAAGTATATTTTGAATGTTGATACTTGTTGGGTATTGTGTGGGAAACTGTTACTTCCTTGCACTTGTGAATGTCATTTCCATGCTTACCAAGTGGCAGTTGACAATGACTGGATCCTGTTCAATCCAGGAAATGAATTAGACTTTCAAGCTCTAGACACCTATTAAGTTGATGATAGGCGGTTTGTGTCCTTGAGGTATTCTGTGTGACGTGATTGCAAGAACATTTTTATGTATGTATGTATGTGTGCGTGCGTGCGTGCGTATGTATGTGCGTGCTTGTTGAAGTAGAGCAAAACATTTGTGTGGACAGTTTTTTAAATACATGCCATCTCTGTGATCCGTCAAAACATTGTGTTCAGGTGTTTAATGTCTTTATGTGATTGTTTACTTTTTTTTTTTTTTTTTTTTTTTTTTTTTTTTTTTTTAAATGAATGTATTTTTCTTGCCATAGGACACTATGGCAGGGGTGTCAAACTCAAATACACAGTGGGCCAAAATTCAAATCTAGAACAAGGTCGCGGGCTAACATTAATATTTATTGAAAAATATCTTCCTCCAGATATAAGAATGAATCTCTTCTTATGGACTCAAACAAGTTTTGGTGAAAAACTGAATGTGGAACAAGCAAAGCTTAATACTAAACAATGTATATATTAGCTGTATAATACCAGTAGGCCAGCTCTAATAGTAATTTGGTATGGCTTCGCGGGCCAAATGTAATTAGGCTGCGGGCCAAATCTGGCCCGCGGGCCAGAGTTTGACACCTATGTCCTATGGCAATATACGAATGTAATCAAGGATGTATTCCTGTGGTTGTTTAAGTGCTTTGATGTGATTCTATTATCGAAAATAAATGGTTAAATAACCAAATATTTTGAACTATTGGGGGTACATTTTTGTCTCTTTAGGTACGAAATAGGTTGTCGCTGGGGGGGGTACCCTCATAGGTACCCTATTGTACCCTTTTCAAGGGAACATTTCTGTACTATAGTTTCAAGGTACATTTATGTCTTAGGAAAGTACATGATTGTACTTCAGATGGTACAACTTCATAAGGTACAAAAATGTACCAAGCCTAAAGGGTACAGAAATGTCCTTCAAAAAGGAACACCCCCAGCGACAAGCATTTGTACCCTTTTTGGTACACTTTGGTACCCCTATTTCTGAGAGTGTAGAGAGGCAGCTGATTGTGACTTTATTATATATTTTCACAAAGTATTTCATCCATCTATCCATCGCCACGTCACAGCAGCAGCCTAAGCAGAGAAGCCCAGACCTCCCTAGCAAATCAAATGAACAGCAAGAAGTACATACACAGAACAGCAACACATAAAAGCAAAGCCCTGGGGTGCACAGCCTTAAGCACAGAGAAGAGAGCCACACAGAGAGGGACAGAAAGAAGGAGGGGTGTCCTCTGGTCCCTGAATTTATAGGGACCAGTAACCCTGCCCCGTGCTGCTGGGTAACTTTCCTCTTGTCCTCCAGCCAAAGACAGCAGGTGCACGTCTGTGTCTGCGTGCGCCTGTTTTTCCGTGTCTATATGTCAGCTTGGGTCTTAGACTCCGCCTCCCTGGGAACATCTCAGGCTCTCCGAGGTATGGAGGTCTATCTCCCCTCACCACACTCCCTGCTGGTGGCTGATGCCCTCAGACGTTGGTGTGTTGGTGGTTCTTGGTGTCTGGGCGCTCATGTATGTACCGGCTCACTCCCAGTGGTCAATTGGCGGGGCCTGGATCCTGTGGCCCAGCTGGGCCCCTTCTGGGGGGTGGGGTGCTCTGCGGCCTCTAGGCCCGGTCCTATCTGGCACAGCTGGCTGCCAGCAGAGCCCGCGGGCACGCCACTGCAACCCCCTCTGGCCTCTGCTCCGTAGCTGCTGGGTGACCTCTCACTTGGGGCTCTCCTCAGCTCTCCCCAGGAGGGTGGCACGGTTGCCCCCCCGGTGGTCCTCCTTTGGTCCTCATATTCTGTGGCCTGGATCTCCTCCATACCTGCTTCATGCCCTGGGGGACGGGGCTGTGGCCCCCCACACTCCCTAGCAGATCATTACATGGAGAAACCTTTTGAATACAAGCGTGCTGATCCACACAGGTGTGCACAGACACAAGCTACACCTTTCTTGGCTGCTGCCTCAAAGCACATTGTGCGCTGTTGATCTTGCGTGCTGCACAATAAAATGTAATATTCAGTATCTACTGTTACCTACTGTGAGCTAGTTTATTGTGATGGTGCTGTTTTTATTATGTTGCTCTTTCTTATTTGTTTTTCTTTTTTTTCCTCCCCCCTTTCTCACCGTCTCTTCTCCCCTCCTCTATTTTTCTTTCTCTCTTTCTTTCATTCTTTCTCCCTGTCCTGTCCCACAGTCATGTCTGTCCTGTCTTTAAAAAACGAAAATAAAATAAATACATAATTATAATAAAGGTCAATCAAATGGACCAATATGGCAGGGCCATGATGATCCACTTGGTAAAATAAATCCACTTGGCATCTTTCTTGGCCTTCAGACAACAATTCTGATGGCTATAGATCCAAACGGGACAAAAAACCCAAACAAAACAAAAAGACAGCAGGTGCAGGGTTAGATAAAGGTCCTGGCCCGGGGCCAGTCAGGACTGTGGCTACCCTTTGCTTTGCCTTATCACAATAGGTCACGACACGGTCAAACATCGCACATTACCAAATTATTAAGTCTTACAACAAGCATTCAGCCAGTGGTCTAATCTTATACTATACATGTGAATAATACTTGACCTAACTACATAGGTTACATGCTTGTCTGTGTATACATGGTTACTTAAGGTGATTTTATTGTCACGTGTTACCGGAGCTGGAGAGTAAGTTATTCAGGAAAACGCTTCCTGGCATTAACAACCCTGTTACTGTAAAACCTTAATAAACAGTAGTGAGGGCAAAACGTCCTGTGCTTAAGAGTTACAGCATATACAGTAAAGTATATGTGTTCAGTGCAGATAGATATATAGTTATATAGATACACTTGTCACCCAAAACTCCACCACAGGATTGTATGGATTTTGGTGTAAAATGAACATTTTATTGTACAGGTTTTTTTTTTTAATTATTTTGATTTATTTTTAGCATTGTTTGCTTATTCCTGCATTCCTCCTCTGGCAAGAAGCTGAATCTGTTTGGACCTGTTTAGTCTGTTTGTGCTGGGTTTCTGATTCTTGCTCCCCCCTTGTATTTAAAGAACCTCCTAGTAGGACATTTTGGTGCACCAGCTTTAGTGTGTACAAACATATGAGGATTGCCAGAGTGTTTTCAAAATTGTGGTTCATAACACATACTCCCGTATATATATGAGATAGTAAACTGTTACACAGCGTCCAAAAGTAGCAAATATAATAATATCTTCATATTAGATCATCTACTGGAATCAGGAGGTAATTATAAACACTGGCAATTAGATCCTCAATTTCTCACCAGGAAAACATTCTGCAAATACTTAGAAGAACAGATCAAGTTGTTTTTTTGAGATATGACCAAGACGATTTATCATCTCTTTTATTGTGGTAGACGTTTAAAGTGTATGTGAGAGGCTGTCTTTTCAGTCGTCTGAGAAAAAAACGTAATAATGCGAAACATATACAGTTGGAGGTTCAAATACCAAAGTTGGACTCTGCCAAACAAGCATCAGTACAGCTACACAGTAAAATATTGACTCTAAAGTACAAACTCAATAAATTGCTCTCAGATAAAATTTCCAGGACCTGTTAAGCAAACCTTGAATTTGGTGATAAGCTGCATAAATTACTGGCCAGGCATCTAAGAAAGAGAGAAAGTGGTCGGGGTCAGACTCAGGGTTGTTGATTAACTCTCATAAGGATATTGAGTCACTTCTGGCACTGCACTTCATTCTTCCTTCTTTTCCCTTTCAGTGGGTTCTCGTCACTCATGGAAAACTGGAAGTGAAACTATTCTTACTGTGGTTTTTCCCCACTTGGGTGCTGTGATCTGCTGTATGATCACCTGCTTTTACAGCGACTCTGACACCTTCCAGAAATAAACCGTGCAGAGCAGATTGTGTATCCAGTTTCATTTTTCCTTTTCAAAACCAAAAGCAAATATAGATGCTGGCCCCGCCCACCTGGTGGGTGTCTGGGAGGGGTGCCATCCTAAATGCTGCAACTGTGCATTAGAATAAAGAGGCACACAAGCTTGTTTACAGCTCTGACTGCAGGATTTATGAACAACACAAACTTATCAACCACTTCCAATGATAAGCAGCATGGCAGATGTTGATACACTGTCACAAAGGGCATGAACAACCTCAGCAACATGACAACTGAAGCACCACAGAGTGAATCTCATGGCCATGAATGTTCACAGTCACCATTATAACAATATCTGTTCTTCGGCCACAGTAAACCACTTGTGCAAACATTTACATCACCAAACACAATAAACTAAAGACTCACAGTGAGTAACTAGTAAATAACCATTGATATAAATGCCATCACTGAAACATGGGAAGATTTCTTTAAAGATGAAAATCTCCCACAAATGTCCAGCAGTTAAAAGTAAGGAATGTTGGATTAATGTGAGTAGAAATTCACATTATCAATCACTATTTTTTTATTTCTAAAAGATGTTTTTGTATGTTTTAACAACGTTAACAACGATGCATAACAAAAATAAAGGTTCACTGTGTGGATGATGTGCTGCACGAGTTGCTCATCAGGAAAACATGAGAAACACATTAAGTGCACAGGTATGTCTTTCAGTTCGTTCTGCTGCACACTTTTATTTTCACTTTTACACTGACTGTGAGGATGGGCTGGGCCACATGTATATATAGCGCTTCACTCTGAGGACTCACAGCACTTCTCTCTGCAGCACTGACTTCAGCAGGTGAGTGGAAAGAAACTCAGACGTCTCTCTGCACATCACACAAACACAGCTTTATATTTGGTTTTACTTCAGATCAGCAACTTTCAAGTTTCAAGTCAAAGTTATAAGATTTCGCTGCTTAAATATGAAACATTACCAGGAACATGATAACTCATAAAGTTATTATAAAACACAGTAAAAGTGTGTTTGTTTTCAGGAGTTTCAAAGTGATGATAAATGCTTTAGAAAGATTTACGTTAAGTCTTAATAAGCTTTTTTGATAGTGGACATTAGTGGAGTTCAGGAACAGCCACCAATGTTTCATTCTCCTATAAAATCTGCCGTCAGCTCATCTCCATCTCTGCATGTCGCTCCAGCTTCATCAGCTACTCTTCTTCTTATTTTGCTCTCAGTGGTTCTTGAGTGAGAAAACTTTGTTCTGTGGGAGGGGAAACTTTCTTTCCCTGCTTTTAAACTTTAGAATGATTAACTTCCTGTTTCATTCTTGAATGCATCAGTTTTGACTTCAGGATTTCAGCTGGTGAACAAATGAAGCCCACACTGAATTATTTGTCCTTAAATCACAGTGTGATGAAGCAGACGTTTCATTAGCCAGGGATGCTAATGAAGTGTGTGTAATGTAATGTACACGTCATTAATCCCTGTAGGGGAATTAGTCCTCTGCTTTAGACCCATTCAGTCAGTGCAGCAGTGGGCAGCCACCGAGGTCGCACCCGGGGAGCAGTGAGTAGGGACGGTGCCTTGCTAAGAGGTACCTCAGAGTAGCCTTTCAGTGGATTTAAACCCCCACCCAACCTTCCCATCATGGTGCGACCACTCTACGTACTGAGCTATGAAATTGTGTTTTTGTGTGCGAATGTGTGTAAAAGTGTTCCAGTTAAACTCAAAATGTTCTTTGTGTCACCAGGTCCATCAAACAGTTCAGTCCATCGTTTGTTTCTAAGTTCGGAGACATCATGGGATCATCATTGTCGTCTTGTGAGTCTGTAACTGTTTCTTAGTTTTCTCAGGATGTTGTCATTTCTCATTTGCCACAATTTACTTTGGGCTGGCTGTGGCTCAGGTGGCAGAGCAGGTCAGCCACAAATCAGAAGGTTGGTGGTTCGATCCCAGGCTACCTCCTGGCTGCATGCCGAATATCCTTGGGCAAGATACTAACCCCATGTTTGCCTACTGGTGGTGGTCAGAGGGCCCAGTGGCGCTTGTGTCCGGCAGCCTCGCCTCTGTCAGTGCGCCTGTTGAGAGAGTTTCAGTTATGTTTATTTGTAGCTTCATTTAAAGGAAGGAGAGTTTGTGAATTAGACAATTGCAGGAAAAGGGAGTGAGCTGTGACAGCCAAAAAGCTAACGGTCTCTCCTTTTAAGGAGATGTTATCGAGCTCTGCACATACCAAGCTACCTCCTGTTTCAACAGAAAAGCTAACGGTCTCTGCTTTTAAGGAGATGTTATCGAGCTCTGCACATGCCACACCTATTGCTGTGAAAGCCTGTTTGAGTATAAATAAAGGATGTACTGAGAGCCCGGCGCGATTCCTCTGTGACACACACACAGTGCACATGTTGGTGCAGTGTCGGGGCATCGCCCATGTACATGTAAAATCTTTGAGTCTGTGTTTGTTTGCCTCCTAATAGTTTCTCCTCACAGCGCCCCAGGGCAGCTGTGGCTACAATGTAGCTGCCATCGCCAGTGTGTGAATGGGTGAATGACTGAATGTAGTGTAAAGCGCTTTGGGGTCCTTAGGGACTAGAAAAGCGCTATATAAATGCAGGCCATTTACCATTTTACTTTCATCATTTCTGAAAAAGACAGAGGAAACTACTTATGGCCAAAATATGGTTAAATTAATCCAATAAAATAAAAAGCAAAGCTTTTCTCTCTTTCTGATGATCTGTACTAAAATGTTTTTTTGTTTTTGCAGATGCTGGAGGGGATCAGGTAAGTAGACCAGTCAGACATGAAGGCTGTGACATTTTACTGAGACTGGTTTTAAAAACAATTTAATTATTTAATTGAGGAATCCCAGGATGAGAAGGAGCCAGAGCTCGGGGACTTGATTGAGATCTCCCGTGAGAACTATGCGCACTGGGCTGTATACGTCGGTGCTGGCTTTGTTGTTCACTTTGTAAATCACTGTGAGTTTCAGTCTAACAGCCCACATTCATTCAGTGTAGTTTTCAGACCACAAACAATATGTTTGTAGACTAGACTGTCACAATGATCCACTTACCAGAAAGGAATAGGTTTGCATTCAGTGTAGAAACTCTTTATGAGCCGTTTTTATTTTCCTCTGTTTCGCCCTGAAAGATGGAGTCTCCAGCGGCGCTTCTGTCAAAGCTGCAAACAGCACTGTGCGGAAGGAGAAGATATGGGATGTGGTGGGAAAAGACAAGTGGAAAATCAACAACAGCATGGACAGGCAATACAAGCCACGCCCAGCTAATGATATTGTGGAGGATGCTAAAGCGTTGGTGGGCAAAGAACTGCGATACGACGTTGTCTCATTTAACTGTGAGCACTTTGTCACAAAGCTGCGGTACGGTGTGGCCGAATCACGGCAGGTGGGTTAAACCGTGTTGCTGCTTTCAGGAAACAGTCTTTATGGAGCTGCTGTGAAAAAAATGAGATAAAAAGGCACCGATGTTAGTCTGCTGCTCATGGAAGAAGCAGCTTTACATTATTATTTCATTATTAGGACAAGTAACAAAACAATAACAATCATTGCGGTGTGTGACATTCTGTCAACTAAAACCAGATCATACATGACACTGACGGCAATTAGTTATAATATTTAGACACACGAGGGTGAAGCACACAGAGAAATGGATTTACTGCAGTTAGAAGCTGATAACCAGCAGAGCTGTGAGGGGCTGCTGCTCAGATTTCAGCTGAGATTTTGAATTAAAACGTTTCTGACTGCTGACCAGAATTATTGATGCCATAATAATTTAAAATAATAAAAATGCCCATAATCATAGTATGACCAACAGCTGACAATGCTCGTGTACGTGTTCGTGTGTTTTTACTGATATCTCAGAGTTGTTGAAACTTTCAGTGGTGACTGACGACAATAATCTGCTCATAATGTTCCTGCAGAAAAACTAAAAGACGTTTTTCCTCCTGCAGGTGGAAAAAGCAGCACTCGGAGTCGTGGGTGGTGCAGGCGCCATCGCTCTGGCTGTACGTGCCTCTTTGGCACCTAGAAATGGACTTAGCTCATTTTGACTTCACCTGCTGATCCTGATTCCTGCTGTTCATTCATTTTAAACAAATCATTTTGAACAGTCTGGAGCTGCTGTTTTACACAAACACACACACATAGCTGTTAGCTGTTCCCAGGACTGCGCTCTTCTCATCTCCGCTGTTGTTTCCGGGATCTGCTGGAGCCACTCGCCTAGCTTGGGAGTCACCGCACCGAGTGCTCCGATTACCACGGGGACCACCGTTACCTTCACCCTCCACATCCTCTCGAGCTCTTCTCTGAGCCCTTGTTACTTCTCCAGCTTCTCGTGTTCCTTCTTCCTGATGTTGCTGTCATTCAGAACCGCTACATCGATCACTACGGCCGTCTGCTTCTGCTTGTCTACCAAAAGAAGAAGACGACGAATTAAATAGTTGAAGCGTGTAGAGCATAGGTGTCAAACTCTGGCCCGTGGGCCAAATTTGGCCCGCAGCCTAATGACATTTGCCCCGCGAAGCCAAACCAAATGACTATTAGAGCTGGCCTGCTGGTATTATACAGCTAATATTAAATATTGTTTAGTATTAAGCTTTGCTTGTTCCATATTCAGTTTTTCAGCAAACTTGTTTGAGTCCATAAGAAAAGATTCATTCTTATATCTGGAGTAAGATTTTTTTTTTCTGTAAATATTAACGTTAGCCCGCGACTTTGTTCCAGTTTTGAATTTTGGCCCACTCTGTATTTGAGTTTGACACCCCTGGTGTAGAATAAAATGCTGTATCGATGTATGATTAAAAGGTGACTTGTTAGTGTTTTGAGGTCAGTGAGACTAAGTGTCAAAAATCAAGGCTGTAAAAGATTTTTTGAACTTAAATCAAAGAGAAATGAGGCTGAGTGCAGCTGCACCACAATAACTGATGATCAGGTACATGATTCCCCAAATGCTTTATCTTAAATTTAAAAGAACTTGTCATCAAAATGTAATATTGACATGTGTCAGAATAGGATACACCTGTGTATAAAAGCTTTCAGTGATTTATGAATAAATACTGTCTGATAATAATTCACTGTTTTTTGTGTGACTATTGAAATACAGAGAAACCGACAAATGATTAACACAGATTTGTTTTCTTCAGATTTTCTATTTGCATAGAAGACAAAGAAGAGAGAAAACACACAGCCAGAGCTGAAGGTCTGTGAGCATCAATATTTCTGCACAGAACTGAGCCATGAGTCCATTTTCCAACAAAGAAATCCAGCGAGAGAGCGATGGCCAGCTAGCAGATGATCTCTGAGACTGAGGAAAAGACAACAAAGTCACACTGAGGGAAGAACATGAGAAACAGAGGCAACAATCAGGCAGCGAGTTGGAGCCAGAGTTTTATTGCTGCATTACTGATTGAAAATGTGGGAAACCACCATCTCCAAAATAAAAATAAACCAGGAGGAAACCAAAACTCACAAAAGTAGACAAACACACACAGACAGGAGACAAAATATAGAGGTGTTGTTCAGCACTGGAGGGACCACGGCAGATGACATCACACGCTCTGCACTGCATTTTGTTCTTTTGGAGATGAAATAAATATTTTATAACACAGTGGGTTCATTCTGAGGCAGGAAAAAGCTTTTATTTGTGTACAAACCTTCAGTGATCCGTGAATGAAACTGTGAGAATAATAAAGTTTGTTTTATGGATGATTTTAGTTTCAAGTGTACGGACAGTAAGAGAGCTCACACAAGGGCAGCACACCATCCATCCATTTTCTTCCGCCGAGGGCGTAGATTTAGCATGGACAGAAGGGACATGTCCCCACCAATAATTTGATCTCTTCGAGTAAAGAAAAACAAAACGATCTGTCAGCGTCTCATTCACCCAGCGGTGCAGAAAGAGTGAAATTACTTCTCTACTGGAGTCCTACCTCATGTGACAAATATGGCCAATGTGATTGGCTGAGCCTTTCAGGGAGCTCTGTTTAGTTTTAGCAGCTGCAAGCCTGCGCTGCGAGGAGGAGGAGAGGAGGACGGCAGCAAAGAGGAAGAAGCTGGATATAAGAAAGTGTTTTTCAAAGAAACCTGTCAGTCACTTAAAGCCAAGCTCACTCATATAATGTGTCATAGTAACGTTACAGGCTGTGCTAGGCTTTGGCCCACATCAGTCTAAAATCGTATGTAACCATGAATAACGTGTTTTGGAAACTAACTGCACAGCAGGCAGCACTGTTAGTTCTCTCAGTCAGACCGCTGACCTTATTTATTTCTCTAGGGATCCAGATAAAGACCTAATGATATTGAGCCTTCTGTGCATTCTGTGATGTCCTTATGATAATCTTTCATGCTATCTGTTTCTATCCATGCGTAATCTGGTATGGTGTTCTCTGTAATGCTGAACGTGAGAGATGCTGAACCTTATCACCAGGGAACAGTACAGAATCACATTTCAGAGATAATGGACTAGTGTGTCCGCTATATCCGCTGTAACAGCTGGGCTTGGTGGAGCAGGCCGAACCGCTCCCCTTTGATTCCTGGCAGCAGCAGTCCACGAAGGCTGCACATGCTGGCACCATCTTGCCGGTATAGTCAGGGAAAACAGAGATGGTCATATTGTTCACGTTAATCCAGTGAAACCCCCTTAAACTCCCTGAAGTCCTTGCGGAGAGCCAAAAGCAGCTCTATTTTGAGAGCGCAGACATCGTCACTAGTGATGGCCTGGCCCGCAGTCCCCGACTCAGAACAGGTCAAGGGCTCATTAGGAGATCAGGCCGCAGGTGAGGCAGGATTGAGTTTCCTCCTTTAGTCAGCTTTGATGGCATTTTAGTGACCAAAACCAAAAAGTATACTGTGACACAGGACCTCAGAACACACATACGCACAAACTGGCCTTATGTTTGGGCAGCAGCTCTTTTATTTATGGCAACACAAACTGCGGTTTTGTTAGCCTTTCAGCTCAGGACGCAGACACTCCTGGTTCATTGCCACCTTACTTCTGCCCAGCCGCCAATGGGACAGAAAACACAGACTCATCGTCAATCGACTTGCCCAAGCACACCTGTTCCCACCACGCCTCCATGCCTCCCCTATGAGCTCACAGCGTCACCCCTCCTCTGCAGCAGACCTGAGACCACACCTCCGCCACATATACTATTCTAAGGACTTAGATATCGCCTGGAATCGAATCAGAGAAAAAGTGCCCAATAATAATTGAAAAAAAAACCCCAGCCAATTCTGCAGGAGCTCACCAAAACACTACTCACACCAAACTGAAGATATAATAATGAAATATGTAAGCAGTAACTACAACTGTCAGCTAGTTGTCCGTCTATCCTGCTCACATCTCCAATGGTTGTACACATCATTAACGTGGCTTCACTCCACATCAGCCATGCCATTATGCCAGCTTAAACTCCGGTGTCGGCACATAAGGACGCTGTCATAGCCTGTCAGCAACGTTGATTGGCTGCGTATATACGAATGAGAATCGCATCATTGGATGGACTATGGGATAAGGCGGCATCGTTCTAATCCCACACGGGAGCAGCCTGTCACTGACTAACACTGCAAAACAGAATTGTTAAAGTATTAATTTTAATTTCAACTCAGGTTAGATTTTTTTTTGTGCACAATGCAGATTTTCTGTGCGCAGAGACGTGCCAGCTTAGAGGGAACATTGCTGATGAGCCTGATGCTCCTACTCATTGCTAGTGTGCTTCTGGGCAATCTTGGCAGCCTCAGACAAGTATGAGAGAAGAAGCTTGGAGTAGCTGTTAAAGTCCACCATTATAGAGATCGACAGACCACGTGACTTTCGCGCATTGCTTTGTGGGTACCCGTGGCAACAAAACGTTAGCGTGCTGCCCAACTTTCATCACGCACATATTTATTATTATATGGTCCTAAGTTTTAGTGCATATGTTTAGTAACTTCAGATCCCTGCAAACCCAGGTCCAGTTTCCTTTGGTGATTTGGACTATTCCATTTCACAGCTGTTGTTAGAGTTTTTCCTTTATCTCCTCTACAGGCAAACGCATCTATTTTTTGTTTCAGGTTGTAGTGTTACACAACATTTTTAGATCTAATAGAAATAAAATGAGCATTTCATAATTCATTCATTTTATTGTCTTCATTTATAACTGGCTGTCACGGTCGGACGGCTCTTTGCGGACGACCCTGCTTGTGTTTATGTTTTCTGTGTGTGTGTGTTTGCTTCTCCCTCCCAGGGGCCTGTTCTTCGTACCTCGCTAAGTAGGTTAGCCGGATTAGATTGTTGACGATTTCGCGTGATCCTGGATCGTTCGGTTCCCCGAAGCTCATCCGGGACTTGCTGTCATAGCAACAGAGCCGTAAGCGTAAACCTGCTCGGGAGCAGGTTTACTTTATGTAAACAGGATTAGATCGCGGCCACTCAGGTATGTCCGCTTCATTTATACGAAAGCAACAGCGATATTTTACCACTGTTTGTCCATAAATAAATAACATCAATGTAACTAAAGATAATGCAGCACTTGATCCTTTCATTGATGTCACACAGATACATACAGGTCATTTCCTAAAAAAGGGAAATGAACTATTAACATTCTATTACATGTATGTGATTATTACAGATGTAATTCATATTTCAGAGTAGTAATAGTAAATTACTTTGTGTAATCAAGATGAGAGACCACGGCTATAAAAGTGAAGGTGGATTTGGGAAGCCTGTCGCAGCCATGTCCTGTCCGTATACGCGACCAACCCATTGCGGAAGGTGCAAGATTGATAAGGAGAGTTCTCAGGATTCAGCGTATATTGCGGGACAGACAGGATCCTTTAGCTCAGCGCGACAGTGTGCTCATAGAGAGATATCGATTTTCCCGTGAGGGTATTATTCACTTAACCAACTTGTTGACGAGGGGGTGCAGGACCACCACCTGTCTTTGTTTGCTCTGCCCTTTTCTTGGTTGCTGTTATAAACAAACAAACAGATTATTTCAGGGTCTCTTTCCAAGAGACGAAAAGCAACATAAGTGATAAATATTACCATTCTGTAGAATATTCTTATATTTCACTTTTACCTGTTCCCATGTTCTAGTGGGTCCTGTTGTGGCTCTAATGTGAAAGAGGATATAATGTAATATGATATCATGTAATATAATATAATATAATATAATAAATTTACCCTACTGCCTACTGGTGTTGGCCAGAGGGGCCGATGGCGCAATATGGCAGCCTGGCTACAACCGTAGCTGCCTCCACCAGTGTGTGAATGTGAGAGTGAATGAATAGTGTAAAGCGCTTTGGGTGCCTTGAAAAGCGCTATATAAATCCAATCCATTATTATTATTATTATTAAATTACTTACGAGTTTAATTTGTCAGCAACTTCCTGCCAGCCCTCTCTCCTTGCTTTTGCAGCCTTTGCAGTGTTCCCTTGAGTTTTAATTAAACTCTGAAACTCCTGAAATCCCTCACTCAGGAGTTCTTGCTCTGCTGCCGAATAACACTGAGCGCGCTCCTTCGACATTTTCGCCGACCAATCAAAGGGTTGCCGATCAATGTTTCTACTTTCGATGCGTAGCCCCTGTTAAGCCACCCAGTGATCTCACATTACTTCATCCAGCTGTACTAATCGTCAACAACAGGTGTGTTCGGGGAACCGGATTAGCGAGCTCAAAGTTAGCGCGATGATTTGGTCTTGGATGTAGTAAGCGAGGTACGAAGAATGGTACTCGGTATGACTCAGGTTGATAGAGGGGCCCAGCCTGGATCATATTCCAGCATTTTGTTTCTGGTTTTCCTACGAAACACAACAAACATTAGCTCGCAAAGCCACAGTGAACAAAGCAGCATAGCGCAACGAATTCAATTCAAATCAATATAAGACTTCTTTGTAACCTACATCAACAATTATGTTACAATAAATTACGTAATAGCTACAACAGCAGACTGACCTTTGTGGAAATGCTTGGAGCAGACTCACATGTGAGCTGGAGAGTTCTGGGACGTTATATTTGGTCTTTGAATGGCTGCATTCCAGACCATCCGTCGGCTCTTTGTTACTTCGGAAACATGGCTCGAACAATTTCTCTTCCACGACGTAATCCGATAACAAACGATCTCTTTACCCGTCGGCTTCCCGTGGCTGTCATGCGACCGGCTATTGCAGTTAATAATACAACAGCTTCTTGCCTTTTTTTGTGTTTCTTTTTGTTGCTGTGTGGCTGTTTTCATGTGAAAAGCCTGCGTGTGCTAGTACCACTTGCCATTATTGCCCATAGGGTGATAAGCAGTAGTGTGAGACTTGTCAACGGCCGAAATCTGCAGAAGCTCAGACAACAATTCACTCTCAAAACTTGGACCTTGGTCTGAATGAATACGCTCAGGGAAACCATATACACAAAAAACAAAGTCCCACAACTTTCTGGCAACCTGCTTGGCAGTCTGATTCTTGCACGGGAAAGCAAAGGCCATTTTCGTGAAGTGGTCAGTCGCCACAAGCACATCAACAGAGCGCTTCTTTCTGTCTTCTGCTGACACAGCTCACACACACGAACGCACACAGACTCAGATCACACAGGTAGGAGATTGAAATGCAAAATGAAATATTTAATTTAAAAAAAGGGGTGTTTGGGGTGAAATTCACAAGTATTTAACACATATGTTACATATTAGAGATGGACCGATCCGATATTACGTATCGGTATCGGTCCGATACTGACCTAAATTACTGGATCTGATATCGGAGAAAAATAAAAAATGTAATCCGATCCATTAAATATCACGAAAGCACCTCACAAAACTTGCAACACGCCGTAACTCACCTTAGAACGTTAGCACGTCGGAGCAGTACGCATCACGTGATAGAGCGGCTGTGGCATGCGGGACCTGTGGTCTGGATAGCATTTGGAGCTTCGCTAGCAACCTGGCATTTCATCTCCGACAAAGTTATCCCCGAGAGAAGTAAAGCAAGTGTGTAAGTCCATCTCTGAATGTTTGTAAAGCATTCCTGCGTTAAGCTTAACAAGCGATATATGGAGCGACTGCCTCTTCTTGCTGCTACTTCAATCATGAAACTGCTTAACGATCAGCTGATCGTCTCTCTTGTTTGTTTTTGGTCCACTTTGCACCAGAAAGAGGAAACCAGCGGCTGAACAACAGCAGCACGTTTAAGCTTGATAAGCTGTTGTTAGAATTTATTTAATATTACTTTCTACTCGAGGATCTTTTTCTACGCAGCTGACGCTGGTAACTGTGCAGGGGCGGATCTAGCAAAGTTTAGCCAGGGGGGCCGATAGGGCATTAACAGGGAAAAGGGGGCACAAAGACATACTTTTCTTTCTTATTCTCATTTAAAATGTCTAGCTTTAAATAAATAATTATCTGACACCCAAAGTTTTAATTTGATGTAAAATGAATAGAAGTCAATTACTGTATATAGTAACTATTAAGTCTAATATATATACCCTAGTAAGCTATAGTACTTTTTCCTTTGGGAAGGTACCATCTGTGCAGTCTGCAATTTTGTTGAAGAAAGATGTTGAATCTATTTAATATTTCTTGAAAAATAATTGATTTCTGTGCATTTTTTTTCACACTGCATCAAATTAAGGTTGATTACGTCGATTAAGCATCATGAGGTGGAGCGTGAGGGGTGGTTCCCTATTTTTTATTTATTTTTGTTGTTGCTGGGAGTTGGAACCCTATTAGTTAGGTTGCTTAATATTTATGCTAAGTACTCTTTAAAATACCAGAATAGGGAGGATGGTGTAGGTTTAAGTTTATTAGATTGATCAGTATTGCTGCATATACTATTATATATTGTACATATATTTATTAGTTTCAGATGTAGCCATTCTTGTATTTTGCTTGTTTACATTATTGTATTTTGCACAACTCTGTTGCTTGTGAAGCTCGCACACAAGAATTTCACTCACATGTGCTGTACCAATGTACCTGCACATGTGATGTGACAATAAAAGTGATTTGATTTGATTTGATTTGATTTGAACTATGAAATTTTTTTTTTGCATACAGGTATAACAGAATAGCTTTAGTGTAGTTGTTGTTTTAAACTTGAGTATGAACTTATACAAAATGCAGCAAGATATTTAAAAAACAGTTTTGTTGATTAAAAAACACTATATCGGATTCATATCGGTATCGGCAGATATCCAAATTTATGATATCGGTATCGGTATCGGACATAAAAAAGTGGTATCGTCCCATCTCTATTACATATGTCTTTGAATGTATAATCATAACACCATAATAATGCAAGATCTACACACTTTCAATTGACAAACTAACATCTAATTCTTAAAATATTTAGATCATTGATATTAGGTATGAAAATATTAGATACCTTAGAAAACTTGAATAAATAGTACATTTTCTAACAAATAGAAAACAATGTTATTTAATGACATTTATTGTGTTGTTATTATTATATTTTATTTTTGTAATTTTTTATGTAAATATAATGGCAGATATATTGCATCATCAACAATTATTGAGGTTATGTATATATGTTGTGCGATAAGTCGATATATCGATTATTGTGACAGGCCTACTGTTTTGGTGTCATAACACGCTTGCCAAACATGCATGACCATCAAGCGATGTCTAGTAGTACTGGTCTGAATGACAACAAACATGTGTTTGGGAAAATCTGTTAAGAAAACAGTTATTGTTTCAATATTTATGCTTAGCATGTGACACAGACACTGCATAAAAACTACAACAACAAATACTTACTTTAGGAGGATGGGGAAGGGCAGCGTGAGGTTGAGACTTTGACATCTGTAAGAAAAAAATTCATGTATTACAAACAAGTCATTTAAAAATATATTAATGTGGCAGACTGTTCCCTGTTCAGATGCAGTGTATAAGTACAATCAGAGCTGTCACAACAATGTGGCGGGAGGGGGGGCAAGTGGCTGCAACCCTAGGTGCAATGTGCAGGTATATATAATTACATATAATATATGTGAATAAAGCAAGAATCTGTTTAGGTTAGTCACTGTGCTGACTGATGCTTGCTAGGTTTATATGATTGCAAACTGCACAAAAACAACAACAACAACAAAATTAATGATAGCGACAAACAAAATTACTTAGATTTATGTAAATCTCACATCAGGAAGGTCTGCATTTGATTTCATGGGCTGAAATAAATAGGCAGAAACATTACTGCTAAACAACCAAAAAAACTCTAAAAAGCCTAAAAATGACTAAAAAAGCGAGGAAATGTGGAACATTGTAATTAGTGAATATTACCAAGGTGCTAACCTTGGTAAGTAAGTACTCTGTAGCCACAAGGAGAGGTAGGATTTCTGTGAAAGTCAAATTAAATGTGAATAGGTTTTGATAGTTATTGTATATAACATCTGTAAACAGTTTTATTTGTAATTTTTTTATAATAAGAAAAGGCTAAACGGCTTTCATTTTGACAGCCCACTTGATTTCCATCCCACCCTAAGAAAATTTTTCTAGATCCGCACCTGGATCCAGGATAGTTCTCCTTGCATACGGAGCACCAGCTGGGCTCTCCAAGTCACGGACAAACAGTGTCCTCTCATTCTTGGAGATGGATGAGGAATAATCTGTCTATGGCATTTAGCCACAGGGGGCGCTAGTTGACTCGACTGAATTTCAATGCACACAAAGTAAATTGCACGCTCTAGTTGTGGGGCGAAAAAGCTGAAATCGGAGTAATAAAAAGCGAGGAACGATAACGAGATTCTCCAGATCGCCGACTTGTCCTGTTAACAGCATCGGTGTGGTGACGTAAATTTGTTTTGCCATTTTCGCGGTCGTCTCGTGCAGGTAACAAGAGTAACAAGACTGACGGGTTTAAATCAACCTCACAAATGTCACAGTTGAAATGTTTAGTGTTTATTTGCTGCTTTACCAGTTACGGTAAAAAAACAGAAAAGCATGATTGCAGCGCAAGCTCGTACTTGTCAAACGTTAATCTTGTTGAATACTTTCACTTTTCTTGCGGAGAAAGTTAGTGGCGAACATTAAAATATAAAAATAAAAACAAAGGGAGAAACATGCTGATAAACCGATCATTGAACCACACAAGCTTCTTTATTGACCTCACTAACTGAAAATCCATCACTGATTGTACAGCTCGAGTCTGCTCAGATTAAATCGAAAGTTTCTTATTTGTCACAGTAACGACACTGACTGAGCTGAAACTCACTTCTACTCTACTCAAACTGTCATATCAGGTAACAACTGACGCGACTTCAGATACATTGGTGAAATTAAAAAGTATTTTTACTTCAAGAAGTGTTTAAAAGGAAACGAGGACATCACTTCTCAAACAGACGCGATGTCTGCGGTTTAATGTGCGATCTAATGTTCATTTCGTGTTTAACCCTTGTGTGGTGTTCGTATTTTTGTTACTCAGCCAGTGTTCATGGGTCTGGTGGACCCGCTAGAGTTTTGGCTTTCCAAATTAACACTATCAAACAATTTTATGTTAAATTACTAAACAGATGTTTACTTCATCCCAATTACAAGACATATGAACAGCAAACAGTTAATTTTTTCCCTTTACCTTTGTTAGATCACATTTATGAATTAATGTGCTCGGTTTTTGTTTTGTTTTGTTTTTTAAATAAAATGTTATAATAAAAAAAATAAATCAGTTATAATCAAGTGGAGTGAGTGGAAAGACACAACACATTTACACGTGAAGCAACATGTTTCATAACTAAATGGGATCAGCTGCTCATCAATGGTGACATTAGGCCCAGGGAGCAGCAGGCAGTTGTAACACTCAGTTACTCAAAGCAAACAGAAGGTAGATGGCTATACTTACTCTGTCCATGTTAATTAAGACGCTCTTTCTGGAAAAGTAGAGTGACTTCATTTGTACAGAAATTCTGATGGACAAAACTTTATTTGAGAGAATGTTTGTGGAACTACAGTCCTTTCCTTCTGCTGCGCCGATTTGAGAAAAACGTCATTTAAAGCATACTCAGTTTTATTTGTAAGATATTTGTTAAAAATTAATATAAATAAATTAACTATGGTTACAGCTAGAAGACAAGATTGTAGCATACTTGAGATGTTTTACAGCAAGGAGACCAGTTATAACAGAATTGTTTGTTTAAGGTAATGACATGGTAGAAAATTGGGATATTTTACCAGAATTAAATGTAAAATCTAATGTAAATACATCTTACATAAAATAGTGCTTTATATGTTTTAAAGTAATATTATCAAATATTGATTAAAGGAATGTCAGTTTGCATGGATTTATAATGAATTCTATTATACAGATGACTTCTAGCACTGTCAAAAATGTATATAAATATGGTCTTGGCATAATTTTACTGCATTATTCTGTACAGATCTGTTATATCTGTTAGCTGTTAGCTGTATATATGTTAACGCTGCTCAACATTGATTGTTTATATTAAGATAAATTAGGTTAGAAACTGTTTTTGAATAATATAGTTAAAGTGCATATAGAATCTATTTACAGCTCTTCACTTACAGCAGATCATCTCTATCTCATCCCGTTGCCAGAATCCTCCTTCTGTCACACCAACCCTTTGTCCTCCTTCACTCACTGCTCCTTTGTAGTCTTCCTCTTCTTTTCTTGCCTGGCAGCTCCATCTTCAGTGTCCTTTGTCCAGTATATCCACTATCCCCGCTTTGCATGTCAAAACTATCTCAACTTTGTCCAATAATATAACTTACAAAATCCTTAAACCTATGTACATACATACATAAGAGTTGGCAACTAGTTTAGTGGTAACAACATCTGGAAAGTATTTACAACAGTTCACTTGTCCCATATTTTGTCATGTTACAGTCTTATTCCAAATTTATTAAATTTGTTTTTCACCTAATAATTCTGCACACAATACCCCAAATGGGGAAAAAAAGTTTACTTTAAATTCTTGCAGATTTATTTTTAAAAAGAAACATCCACAGCCTGTGCAGTGACACTCAAAATAGAGCTCGGGCGCATCCTGTTCCCACTGATCTAGTGTCAGATGTTTCTACAATTTGACTGACATCCACCTGTGGCAAATTCCGATGATTTTACATCACTGTGTAGGTTTTCAGGGGCCTATTTCTCCCTGCCACTTTCCCTGCCATGGGCTGATGCCCCCACCTGCTGGTGGTTCTTGGTGATTCTTGCGGTCCAGGGCTGGGTGCTAGGGTGTGTACTGGCTCACTCCTGGGCCTGCTTGGTGGGGCCTGGTCCCCTTGACTCTGTTAGGCCCCTGCTGGGGGGTGAGAGGAGGTGTGTGTGTGTGGGGGGGGCATTTATTATTATTTTTTATTTATGGTCATTTATGCATATGATGGTGTTTACTGTGTTTTCTCTGCTGTGTTGTTGTTGTTTTTCCAGCAGGTGTTGAAGCAGATTCTCAGTGTTTTTTTTCTCTCCCCCTCTCCTTCTGTCTTTCTTTTTCTTTTCTGCCCCCCATCTTGTCATTTGTGACTTCGAGTTATTAAAGTTCTAATAAAATATGCCCATTAAGTGGATCATTATAGCAAATGCCATAAAACAAACACATGCACACATCTGAATTCCAGAAAAGTGATGTTATTTAAACCTAAACAAAACAAAAACTAAAAGACTTTAAAATTAGATAAGCCAATATTTTTTTCACAACAAATTAAACATGAATCTTGCTATAGATGGGGCAAGAGCATGTTCACCGTGGTGTAGCTCCTCCTCTTCTTTTCAAAACAGTTTGAAAACATCTGGCCTTCGAGGTTACGAGTTTCTGAAGTTTTGGTGTTGGAATTTGGTCCTATTCTGGTCTAGCATAGGTTTCCAGCTACTGAAAAGATTGTGGTTGCCTTTGGCATATTTTTTTCATTTAATGATGCACCAAATGCTCTCTGTAGGTGAAAGATCTGGACTGTGGGCAGAACAATTTAGCACCCAGACTCTTCTCCAGCAAAGCCATGCCTTTGTATTATTCTGCTGAAATTCACTATGCCTTCCCTGCAATAGACATCATCTGTAGGGGAGCTCATGTTGCCACAAAACCTCTCCCTCCGGCGGAGAGTCGTGGAGGTAACAGCCTAAGCAGAGAAGCCCAGACCTCCCTCTCCCCGAACACCACCTCCTTAGCTTATCCAGTGGAACAACAAGGTGTTCCCAGCCAAGAGATTTAATCTCTCCACCAGCAGCGGCTCTACTCTGAGCCCCTCCCGGATGTCTGAACTTCTCACCCTATCTCTAAGGGAGAGGCCAGCCACCCTTTGGAGGAAGCTCATTTCTGCCGCTTGTATCCGCGATCTCGTTCTTTCGGTCACTACCCACAGCTCGTGGCCATAGGTGAGGGTAGGGACGTAGATCGACCGGTAAATAGAGAGCTTCGCTTTTACACTCAGCTCCCTCTTCACCACAACAGACCGGTGCAGCGTCCGCATTACTGCAGCCACTGCACCAATCCATCTCCGGCTCCCTTCTCCCATCACTCGTGAATAAGACCCCGAGATACTTAAACTCCTCCACGTGGGGCAGGAACTCATCCCTGACCCAACAAACTTCTTATATTTTACTTTTTTTTTTTTTTTTACTCATGTTTTTAATCACAACCTGACTATTGTACTGCCCTTTAGGTTGGTATAAATCAGATCCTCCTTTCACGTCTTCGTTGTTGTTGTTTTTATTATCATTAATTTTCTGGTTTTACCAACATTGCTGTGAACTGTGTTTAAGTCACTGGTACCGAAAAATTATAGTAAAGAGCCCCACCTAGTGGTGAATTCTGAAAACTGACTGCCTGTGCCACAGTGAGGCCAGCGTCATGAAAGTAAAATGTTCATGATTTTTGATCAATGGTCATGAGAATTTGCATAATTAAGATTAAGGAACTGACCTCCCAGCCCATTGTTCCTTCAGTGGGCTGGTTTCAGTCATTATGCAAATGTCTTGTTTATAAGATTGAAACCTGCAGTCAGCTGAGACTGGAAACGTTTCTCCCCCTGAAAATGTCCAGATGAACAGAATCAACTTTGGAGATGTTCATGATGTATACTAAATGCCATAAAAACATAAAGAAAATGACATTTTGAAAGTGTTGTAGAACAAACAATGAAAGACAGCAGCCTGTTTTATTTCTGTCTCTGGTTTTATGAGATCATAGAAGATATTTTGGTTTTTATGTTTCTGTTACGGCCTGAGCTGTATGGAGCGGACTGGACCCAAAATCTCATTTCTGCTGCTTGTGTCCGCGACCTTTCTTTGATTTTTTAACCACAGGTGAGGGTAGGGACGTAGATCAGCCGGTAGGTAAACCGAGAGCTTTGCTCTCTTTTTACCACAATGGAGCAGTGCAGTATTTGCATCACTGCAGCTGCAGCACCAGTCAGTGTGTCGATCTCCCGCTCCCTCCTCCCATCACTTGTGAACAAGACCCTAAAATACTTAAACTCCTCCACCTCCTCCTCACCCGATGAAGCTAACAGAAACACATCATCTGACTAGAGACGAGATTCTGAAACCACCAAATTAGAGGCCTTCGAGGCTACGCTTAGAAATTCTGTTCATAGGAACTATACAGAGAATCTGTGACAAATTCCAGCCCTGGCAGAGTCCAACATCCATTGCGAACAAGTTCAAATTATTGCTGGCTTTGCGGACCAAGCGCTTGCAACTGTACTACAAGGATTGAATGGCCCGTAGCAGTGGGCCAGACACCCCAAACTCCCGGAGCACGCTGCACAGGACACTCAGTACTTGTTTTCAGGAAAAAAAAATATATACTCAAGTAGAGTACAAATATCTGAAAATTCTACTTAAGCACAGCAACAAAGCATTTGGTGCTTCCCACGTTTGATTATAGCACCTAAACTCTGGAACAGCCTTCCTCAGATTGGCTGAATCTTTGTTTGTTAAAATAACTATAGAAAAGTAATTTTTAAAAATTAGCTTTCTCGTAATCTCTCTCCTATTATTTTTGGCTGTAAATTTTCATCTAATGAGTGCGTGTTAGAATGAATGTAAGACTGTTTGTATGTGTCTGTGTGCTGGAAATTTTTTAGTTGCAGTAATCCAAACTGAAGCTTTGCAATTGTGTTTAAATAATCTGTCAATCGGTAACTCACTTTTGTGTTGTTTTGCTTTGACAAAAAATTTTAATTTCTATAAACCTGACTGATGATGTCTTTGTCTCACCTAAATCTGCATTCTTCATCTAGGTGTTAGAAGCAGCTGTTATTCAGTTGAATTACTCTGATGTGACAGTTGATATTATGGAAGCTGCAACACCTGGTGAGTTAAAGGAGGCCGTAATCATCTAGATCTTTTTTTTTGCTCATTCTGGTGGTGAATAGATTAGAATAGCCTTTTATTGTCATCGCAAATTGCAAATTGTGCTCCACACAACCTGTGTATGGAGTTAAAATTTTAAATAGGACAGCAAGAGGAAATAACAGATGATATACAAACGACAGAAATATGTACAAAACAGGAGGAAGACACACATAGAGGACACGTTGCTTGTAAAGTCCTTTGCAATGTAATGCACTGCATTCATTGTGTAAATAAAATCACACTTGCAATACTTACTGGCCTACAAAGGCAATCATAAACAAAGACTTTTAAAGTGTCATTTCTGTTTTTGTTCATTTCAGCTTTTTGAAGCTGAATCGTAATCTGCGTTCCCTGTTGTGTCAAACACATTTGTTTATGTTGGGTTTTTTGTTTTTTATTTTTCACATTGAGTATATATTATTATTATTATTATTATTATTATTAATAATAATAATAATAATAATAATGGATTGCATTTATATAGCGTTTTTCGAGACCCTCTAAGTGCTTTACAATTCCACTATTCATTCACTCTCACATTCACACACTGATGGAGTTGTAGCCACAGGGGCAGACTGACAGAAGCGAGGCTGCCATATCGCGCCATCGGCCCCTCTGGCCATCACCAGTAGGCGGTAGGGTGAAGTGTCTTGCCCAAGGACACAACGACCAGGACAGAGAGAGCAGGGGGATCGAACCGGCAACCTTCTGGTTGCAGATGAGCTTCCCAATCTCCTGAGCCCATTGTGTAGCAATGTGAGAGTTGACCAACAGAGATAAGAAAGGAGATGGAAAAGTGATTTAAAATACAGGATGAGCACAATTGGTCTTAAACTGTTGCATCTGTAATAAAATAAAGTCAAAAAGAGAAAAGACAAACATAGATTGTTGCTGTGCATATGTGTGTCATGAAACATACTTGATAAAGACTAAAAAGCCGCAACAACACCCCTGGGAGCCAGTAGAAAACATAGGAAGGCCCAGGACGGAGGCGGTCGCACTTTTCTTCCTCTCCCTTATCTTTCCTGCTTGGCTTCTTATGTCTTTTGTATAGTCTCGCTTATCTCTAACCCTCAAAGAGTTTCTCAGACTTGTTCTCTGAAACCTAAAGAATTATGGATTTGATCAACTGGTCCCGTAACAGAATTGACACCCTGCTGGGCTTGGGAGAGCCCGATTGTCCTGTGGAGACATTTGCTGCCGGATACTCGATGGTCTGTTGCGTCGTGTGTCTGGCGACACTTTCGATGGAGGACATTGGAGGACATCTACCAATTCGGAACCACGATAACAGAGTTCTGGCTGACTGGAGTTGGCTCGGTCCTGGCTTATTGAAGTACAAGAAGCAGCTACAGCTGTTCAAAATCCCACAAGGCTGGCCGACATGATAGACCATGGGCAGGGCTGTGAGTACTCAGACTGTGTTTTGAACGCAATATGGAATTAGGGAAGAACAATGGGAATTGAGAGAATTGGCGACCAGTGACAGACATTAGACAAACTGTAAAAATTGGATGCAGTTGTTCGCACTAAACGCAAACATTCACCATCTTCACTCATGTGGCTATCCCAAAGGCGCCAGCTGAAGGCTGCCAAGGTGGAAGCTGACTGGAACAGCAAACATTCTCCATGATTTGAATGTATTTATTTAAAAGGGACAGTGCAGTTTAACATAGTTCAAGTACAAAACATGAAACTGATGTAAGGCACATGAGTTTATAGCTATTGCTAATTTTGCAACAGGATTGTTGTCAGAACTCTTTGTTCCTCCTTCAAGACCATCCGCGTTGATCGAAGATTGTTGACTTTTGCTTAACCGGGTGACGGGACACTATCTCTCGGTTGACACGAAAACACACACACGCACACATACACATGTACACTCACCCCTCCAAACGCCTTCGAAGGTTAGGTCTTCTGTGTTGTGAGATGTGATGATTCATGTGCTGAGGTGTTTTTTTCTGTTCTCAAACTGATCTCTCTGTTGGAGCTCAGTCTGGGGGGAGTTCTTTTTTCCTCGTGTTGTGCTTTTTCCATGTTATACCTCTCTGACCTGTCTTCCCCATGTGATTTTTGTGTAATGTATGTATGGTCGGAAGGGTCAGATGGCGTTGGCACGGCTGGCAGCCTTAACCCAATTTCCCTCGGGATGAATAAAGTATGATCAATCAGTCAGTCACACCTCAGCTGTTAGCCCCCCAAAGAGTACTAAAGACCTGCAGAAGGAGCTGAAATTATCAGAACTGGTTATAACAGGAAAATGTGCGTTTTAAAGGAACAAGAGAATAACTCTTTTGGTCTGTGTGACTGCTCTGTCACTCTTGCAGTCATCTGTTATTGCACATGATTTGGATGTTTGTGTTCACTTGCATGTCTGCAGGTCTCCTGAAAAAGACATGTTAATCTCAATAAGGCTGGAAAAATACTAAAATGGTGTCTGTATTTTTTTCAGGCACAGATGTGCAGCCACTGACGCGCAGTTGGAGCTATGAATTCCTGCCACCAGACAGTAAGAATGTTGAACATACTGTAGTTATGCAGCAAGAGAACTTTGTTATGTATTTTTATTTTTATATTTTCGGTTTACTCAGCCTCACCTCTGGTGCCGGGGCCCACGTCTCAATATAAGTACATGTAGACATTGAAGTTCTCGGGAGGGGCCGTGCTGACACAGCTGCTGTCTGGCAGAGAGTCGTTGGTACTATGCCCCTCCCAAGTTTTAAATGCACTTTAGAACAGCACACAGCAACACCACATATGAGCGAGCAGAGTTAGGTATGGGGTCTTCACACCGCTGGTCTCTGTTCACTATCTGCGACTGGGGGCCAGGAGGAGGAGCTGGCCATCTGTTTGTTGGGCTTCCCTGCTGCTGCAGGACCAGGGGCGGTCTGCTTGTTTCCACCCTAGAGTAAAGGGAACCATCTCCTGGGTCTGGGGGTGGATTGTCTTTTGTAGTAAGAAAAATACAAAGCTAAAAATCTCAGTCCAACACCCAGATTGTACATTATTTAAGCATTATCTAATGTTTAATAATCATATTTAATCTGTGGTCACTTTCCTCAATTACATGTACAGCATATCAATTGACATGTGTTTTATTTTGCCATTTCAGTGTCTGAGCTGAGGGTTATTCTGCTGGGGGGCAGATGGCCTGACAGAGAGTCACTGGGAGACTTAATACTGGGCGAGGATGTGTTCAGTCAATCTGAGTATTACCATCTCAGAGTGAGTGGAACAGTGGAAGGCAAAAAAATTGCTGTTATCAACACTCCAGATCTGGACTTTCCCAAAATGGACCAACTGACAGCATTTGTACAAGACTGTGCAAAAAACTCAGATCCTGGACCTCATGTGTTCCTGTTAGTTCTACAACCTGAAGACTTCAATGAACAACAAAAACAGATACTCTGCAAAGTCCTTGAAAGCTACAGCGAACGATCATTTGATCATTCATTGATAGTCATATTAACACCAAAAGAGGAAAGCTCAACCTGGGTGGACAGTTGCATACAAACTGAACCAATAAAAAGCCTGATCAAGAAATGTAGGTATAGATACTTATGGCAGAGCAACCTTGAGAGTAGAGAGCTATTAACACGTCTGGGTCAAATTGTAAAGGAGCACAATGGAGAGCATCTTATCCATGAACCATTTGAAGAAACAACACAGACTTTGCCAGGAAAACTTAAAAAAATTCGTAAGTGGATAAAGAAAAAAAAACTTCAATCAAGATCACCTTTTATTGAACTGAAATAATGAGCTGTAAATGACTTTTGCAGGGACTCCTGGAGTGACTTCAACATTCCCTCTCTTAGGGAAAATCCCTTCTCTTCATAGTAAGTAAATGCAACTGAGATGATATATACATATACAGCAGGTAAAATAAGCATTGAACATGTCACCACATTTCTTAGTAAATACATTTCTAAAGGTGCTATGTACATGAAATTGGTAGCAACCCATCCAATTCAAGAGCATTGTCATTCCCAACACATAACATACTGACGATTTTTCATGGCCTGAGACGCTCCGGACTGTCAATTGAATCTAATAGAATTCCACTTGTGGTGGTAAGACACGCTTAGAGCCGAGGCTCCAGCCATCCATTCCAGCCCCAACTATAACCTTAACCCTATCACATAGTGTTGTTCAGAGTGATTCATGATCAGAACGTGAAACACATTTACATGTATAGATTAATTCCAGCTGGCTCTCATGCCTCCAAACGCATAATATACAGATGACTGGTCACATAGCATTGATATGTTACATGTTGGGATGAGAACGTGTTGCCAATTCACACATGCAAAGAAATCAAAACATAGATGTCTATAAATTAATGTATATGTAATATTATGAAATGACACGAAGGAAAGGTGCAAGACAGGGAGGTGCAAAAGGGCAGTGGAAGTCAAGACAACAGCTGAAATCCAACAGTAATTAGAAACCCTCCGGCCACTTGTGCAAATTAATATTATCTGACCAAATGATGACCTGTAAAAAGGTGTGTCATCACCAAGGTGTCACACAAGAAACACCTCATAATGGGTAAAGCCAATGAGCTCTGTCAAGACCTTCAAAACTTTATTCTTGCAAAACATACTGATGGCACTGGTTACAGAAGATTTTCTAAACTTCTGAAGGTTCCAGCCAGCACTATTTGGGCCATAATCTGCAAGTGGAAAGAACATCATCATCAACATCCGCACAAGATTTCAGACAGAGGGAAAATAATTATATGAGGAGTTGTCCAGGAGCCAGTGACCCTTTGCTACAGAAAGACCCGGAATCAACAGGTACAATTTTTATTTTAAAAGAAAACAAGCTGTCATCACCAACAACACACACTCGGTCACAGTTTCCTTCCACATAAAGCTTTGCAAAAACTGCATAAAAAGCGCTTGCAGGAACAAAAACATAATATTCCAGAAACACGCTTTGCCAATCCGATCAGCTGTTCATAACACTTCCTACGTTGGAATAGACGACAGCGCGAACTTTTGCATGTCCGCCATTACCTGCCCGAAACCGGAAGTGACGTCATTTTCGCGGAAATGTAGTCTTTTTTACCATCAGGGCCTCAGGGCCTGTACTGGTCTTTTTAAAAGTTATCTTTGACTTTATGACTTTGTGTCGTTTCTGGGATGCTTAGGACTCATATTGCACTGCTGGAAATAGTTTATTTTGATGCATATGCTGCTTTTTTGCAAATTTGCAGTATAATATTTATTTTTGTTTTTCCTGCAGTGTATAAAAATTGGTGCATTTCAAAAATAAAACTATGAAGACACTTAAAATAAATTTCCTGTGGTAGGAAACTATTTTGTGCAACTTTTTTGTATTTACAGTTTTGAGGGATAAGCCTCTTAAATTTCTCTAACTAGAAATATATGTTAAAAAAGCAAAAACGATTTTCAATTTTTTTGTAGTTTATTGCGCTTTTTTGCTATTTATGTAATTACTATGCACTTAATGAATACATATTATTAAAATCTGGGCTATAATTGTTGTATTGATGTATAGCAACTTGAAATGCTCCCAAAAATGGCACTACAGCGTGTAAAAATATAATATAAGCGCTGGCGGACTTGGTTCTATGGTAGGTCTTAAAGGGTTAATATATTGCAACAACATGGGAATAGAGCAGCTGCCAGAGAATTCAGCATTAATGAATCAATGGTACGGAAGTGGAAGCAAGAAGGAGTTGAGTAAAGTGTAACTTATCTGACTCTTTTGTTTCGCTTAATGCTTAATCCGGTGCGCCTTATGGTCCGAAAAATACGTTTTGTTTTTTTTCCAAGAATGGTGCGTGTTGCTCATTATTTCTAAAATTAAAATGGGTATGTGGTATTGTATAACAGATTAATTGGGCAGTAGTACATGACCTTCAGAACCTTTTTTTGAATCCTCCAGTTTTAAAGATTTTTTTCAGCAGTAAAGTAATCCAGTGACAGTTGTCAATATTTCCACAGTTACACAGCAAACAACAACTCCTGATAAATAATTTGGCAAACTTTATTTTCCAAATTGTAAACAAATACGCTGTGGCAGCAACATGAGGGCTACTTTAATCTGTAACTCTGTTTAAGGCAGGAATCTGAGTTGTCCATATAAGTGACCAATTGCATTAGGTCTTCTATTCTTTTGGACCCTGCCCTCGAAACTGTCAAAAGCCAGCTGATCCAACCAAGTAGGATTCAGCTTTGAGCAGACACAGCGCATAAAACTGACACTCATATTTACTTACCTCTCTCTCTCTCTCTCTCTCTCTCTCTCTCTCTCTCTCTCTCTCTCTCATAAGCTGCTAACAGGCTGCGTTTATTAAAAGTATAGTTATTATTTAAGGAGGCTGAAGAGTAGCAAAACATGTGACACAATGACCAGAAAAGTGCCAGAGGGGCAGATGACAAAGATGAAGAGCTAAGCTAATAGCTACGCAAAACTGTGGAACGATCTGCCTTTAGAGATTAGACAGGCTTCTTCTCTGCCTGATTTTAGATTACACAATAATTACACAAGCTGCACAGGTTAAACTATACAAAAAATCAGTGTGGTTAGCAATAGGAACAGAAGGTTATACATACTGCAATGACCAAATAAGAAGCCACAAAAAGATAAGCCTAAAATTCACTTTATTTGTCATCAGATTCTCATTATTATAACGACTGTACCAAAACTGAACAAATTGAAAGGGTAGACAATATTTTCTGTAGTGTGTGTGTGTGTGTGTGTGTGTGTGTGTGTGTGTGTGTGTGTGTGTGTGTGTGTGTGTGTGTGTGTGTGAACGTACAAATACGTCACACCTGATTTAACCATGTGCTTGTAACATTGCATTTCTCTCTGTTGTATCAGTCTCTGCATTCAGGATTGTGCTGCTGGGCAAAAGTGAAGATAAGAAGACGAAACTTGGTAACTTCATCATTGATCACCAAGGATTTCACTGCCAAAAACAATCACCCATCACGCACTGTGTGGCCTCCTGTGGAGAGTGGAGAGGAAAACTACTGACAGTAGTCAAAACTCCAGACATGTTCAGTCTGTCTGAGGAGGACATGAGAAGAGAAGTGGAGAGGAGTGTGAGTCTCTGTCATCCTGGACCAAATGTTCTGCTGCTGTTGGTCAAACCTTCAAAATTCACTGAGGAGAACAGAAAAACTCTGAAGTTCATCCTGAGTCTGTTTGGTCACAATGCCTTTAAACACTCAATGGTCGTCATCACACATGAGAATGAAATGAGTTCCACTGTGAATGAAGTCCTCAGAGAATGTGGAGGAAGGCACTACAACATGTCTGACGATAATTATAGATCATTAATGGCGAAGATTCAGGAAATGACAAATCAATACAATCACCTGATCAAACCATCTTTAAACCTGGTTCTGTGTGGGAGGAGAGGAGCAGGGAAGACGTCAGCAGCCAAGGCCATTTTAGGTCAGACTGAGCTTCATTCAGCCTCCAACTCATCAGAGTGTGTTAAACATCAGGGAGAGGTGTGTGGACGTTGGGTTTCCCTGGTGGAGCTGCCTGCCTTGTATGGAAAACCTCAGGAGGCAGTGATGGAGGAATCACTCAGGTGTATCTCCCTCTGTGATCCTGAGGGTGTCCATGCCTTCATCCTGGTCCTACCTGTGGCTCCCCTCACTGATGAAGACAAGGGAGAGTTAGAGATCATCCAGGACACATTCAGCTCTCGAGTCAATGACTTCACCATGATTCTGTTCACCGTGGACTCAGATCCTACAGATCCAGCTTTTGTTAACTTTATAAAGCGAAACAAGAACATCCAGGAGCTCTATGAGAGATTTGGAGGAAGATCAGTTGTTCTCAACATTAAGGACAAACAGCAGATCCCACAGCTGTTAGATACTGTGGAAAAAAACTGCTGTTACACAAAAGACACATTGATATATGGCAAAATGGATGAGATATCATGTCAGCAGAAAAAATTAACTACTCTACAGGAACAGCTTCATGTGATGGAGACTAAGCTCACAGTAACTGGTAAGCACATCTGTGATTTCATTTAAGTTTGACTACTATACAGGTGAAACTCAAAAAATTAGAATATCGTGGAAAAGTTCATTTATTTCAGTAATTTAACTTAAAAGGTGAAACAAATATATGATATATTTAAAGCCTTTGTCTTATAATTTTGATGATTATTGCTTACAGCTTATTCAAAAGCTCAGAAAATTAGAATATTGTTAAAGGTACAATATTTTAGGTTTAAAGTGTCACACTATAATCAGCAAATTGATCCAAAACACCTGCAAAGGGTTCCTGAGCCTTTAAGTGGTCTCTCAGTCTGGTTCAGTAGGAATCACAATCATGCGGAAGACTGCCGACCTGACAGTTGTGCAGAAAACCATCAGAGACACCCTCCATGAGGGAAAGCCTCGGAAGTTAATTGCAAAAGAGCTTGGATGTTCCCAAAGTGCTGTATCAAAGCACATTAATAGAAAGTTATGTGGAAGGGAAAAGTGTGGAAGAAAAAGATGCACAAGTACCGGTAGCAGGGATGACTGCAGCCTGGAGAGGATTATTGGGAAAAGGCCATTCTAAAGTGTGGGGACCTTCACAAGGAGTGGACTGAGGCTGGAGTTAGTGCATCAAGAGCCACCACACACAGGTGGACATGGGCGTCAAATTGTCGTATTCCTCTTATCAAGCAACCCCTGACCAACAAACAAAGTGAGAAGCTTCTTACCTGGCCTGAAGGAAAAAAAGAACTGATCTGTTGCTCAGTGGTCCAAAGTCCTCTGTAAGAGTCCTCTCATGAGACAGAACCATGCAGAAGAGCTGAAGGTTGCTACTGAAGTATCCTGATCTTCCACAACACCTCAGCAGTGCCACAGGCTGATCCATGCCACGCCGCATTGAGGCAGTAATTCATGCAAAAGGGGCCCAAACCAAGTACTGAGCACATATGCATGATTATACTTTTCAGAGGTCTGACATATCTCTATTTAAAAACCTTGTTTGATTGATTTCATGTAATATTCTAATTTTCTGAGATTTTGAATTTGGGCTTTTCCATAAGCTGAAAGCCACGATCAACAAAATTATAGCAAATAAAGGCTTGAAATATCTCGTTTTGCACATAATGAGTCAATATCATATATTTGTTTCACCATTTAAGTTGAAATAAATGAACTTTTGCACAATATTCTAATTTTTTGAGTTTCACCTGTATAGTGTTCTCTCACAGTGCGTAATTATTATCAAGTAAATTTGGCATTATTTAATTCTCTACATGCTTCTTTTACAGGTGATCCTGAGGAGCAGAATATACAGTCTCTCAGGATCGTGCTGATTGGGAAGACTGGCAGTGGAAAGAGCTCTTCAGGAAACACAATACTAGGAAAAAAAGAATTTAAAGCTGAATCAAGTCACACATCAGTCACACAGTGTTGTCAAAAAGCACATGGTGAGGTGGACGGTCGTCCTGTTGCTGTGGTCGACACTCCTGGACTGTTTGACACAACTCTGTCAAACGAGAACGTTCAAGAGGAGTTGGTAAAATGCATCAGTCTTCTGGCTCCAGGTCCACATGTCTTCCTGTTGGTGTTACAGATTGGTCGACTCACAGAAGAGGAGAAAGAGACTTTAAGGCTCATCAAGGAAGTCTTTGGCAAGAATTCAGAAATGTTCACCATTGTTCTTTTTACAAGAGGAGATGCACTGCAAAATGATGAAACGTCCATTGAAGAGTACATTGAAAAGGGATCTAATGCTTCCTTTAGAAAACTTATTTCTGACTGTGGAGGAAGATACCACGTGTTTAATAACTATGATAAACAAAATCAAAAACAAGTCAGTGACCTGATGACAAAGATTGACGCCATGGTGAAGCACAACAGAGACAGCTACTTCACCAATGAGATGCTGCAAGAGGCTGAAGCTGCAATACAGAAAGAAATGAAGAGAATCCTGAAAGAAAAGGAAGAAGAGATGAAGAAACAGAAGGAGGAGCTTGAAAATACGTATGAGGAGAAAATTCAGTCTATGAAAAACAGAATGGAAGAACAGAGAGCAGAAATTGAACAAGAGAGAGAACTCAGGGTCAGACAGCTTAATGAAAAGGAGGAAAACATACGAAAGGAGCGAGAGCAGAGGAAGAGAGAACAAGAAATTAGAAATGATGAAGAAAAGAAAAGAAAAATGCAGGAAGAACGTCAACAACAGGAGTGGGAAAAGGAACGAGAAGCTTTGGAGAAAAAAATCAAGTCAGAATCAAAGGAAAAGGAAACAATTGACAGAAAACTGGAACAGAGTAGAAAAGAGATGGAAGAAAAACGAGAGGCCTGGGAGAAGGAAAAAAACAAATGGTGGGAAAAGCGACACCAAGAAGACGACAAGAGACGTCAGGAGGAGCGAGAAAAACTAAAAAAGCTCCAGGAAGAGTATGAAGAGGAAAAAAGAAAATATGACCATCAACGAAAGGAAGAAGACCGAAAGAGAAGTGCACAAGAAGAGAAGGAACGAAAAGAACTGGAGGATAACTATAAGCAAAAAATGGAAGACATGAAAAAGAGTTATGAGGAGGAGGCAAGAAAACAAGCTGAAGAGTTCAATGAGTTCAAAGAAAAATACACCAAAGACCTTCAAGCTCTGATGTTAAAACATGCGACAGAACTGAAGGATTTAATGCAACAGCATGAAACAGAGGTACAACAGAAAGAAACAGAAATGCAGGAGAAAGAGAAAGAACACAGCGAACAGTACAGGGTCTTAGAAGAACTGTCAAAACGCAAAGAAACCACACTCAGAGATGATTTGGAGAAAAAAGATAAAGCACTAAAAGGAGAAAAGGATGATAAACAGAAAATTGTAGATGATAAAAAGGCAAGAGAAGAAGAAATTAAAAAACTGAAGGAACAACAACAAAAAGAAATAGATGATTTTTATAACCTACATGTCATGAAGATCAAGAAGTGCACAATCTGTTGATCGTCCATCCTAACAACAAATATTTTATTTATTCAGCACCCACCAGTATCTATAACTCTCTGTAACTCAGTAACAGTAAGTCATGTAGTTGTATTTACATCCTTTTTTTTCTCCAGTGTATTTGGAAATTTTTGTTTATTGGAGTAACTAAAAAAAATAACTTTAATTAAAAGAAAGCTTTGTATATAACATTTGTCTTTCATTGTATACCACTTTAATGTTACAGTTTTAAGTGTCTTTTAAAAACGTTACTTTTTTTATTAGTTATTGGAGAAACTGTATGAACTAACATTAACAGTCACATGACCTTTTTCTTTTTTTGAATTTGTTTTAGGGAAATTTAAACAAAGTTTGTGAGGCAAGCTGCCTCGACCGGATGGGACAAAAGACATTTGTGGAAGAGAACCAGAGATTAGTGATATTTTGTAGTTGTAGTAATGATGATGATAATAATAATGATAGTAATAATAATAATAGGTTAATAAGAACTGATAATTAAATGCATAGTGAGAGAAAAAGATGACAGAAGAAGAAATACTCATTGCATCATGGGAATCCCGCAGCAGCCTACACCTATTGCAGCATAACTAAGGGAGGATTCAGGGTCACCTGGTACAGCCCTAACTATATGCTTTGGCAAAAAGGAAAGTTTGAAGCCTAATCTAGGAATCCTCTAGGATCAACAAGTAAGCCTGCAGTCTGAGTGAAGCGCTCTCAGACCTGTCATGTCAAAAACTAGAGTGGAAGAATGAATTTTACTCTGTCAGTTATGAGAATGTAAAAAGTGCGTCTTCTTTGACATTCTCATCCTCTTTAGCTGATAATGATTTCAGCATGTTATCCACAACCTCAACATAATTTTCTGCTGTGTGATTTCCAAGAAAGTTCTGGAAAACCTACACAATGCTTCCAAAAAATTCTGCTTATTCAGTTTGCTTTATACTTTATTAATCCCTGAGGAAATTATGTGGATTACAGTTGCTCCAAGAAGAAATGGTAAAAATAGCAACAGTAACAGACTAAACTCCAAACAATACATTATGTTACAGATTTTAATATTAATTAGTCATTGTCAGTTTGTCCTGTTCTCATTGTATGACGAATTATGATGGCTGTTTGCATACTATGCATACTCTCTCTCTTCATATGTGTGTGTGTGTTTCTCTGCTGAAATTCAGTGTGGTTCCGACAACAGTTTTATGTTAATGTACAATCCTTACTGCATTTCGTTGCCCTGTACCTGTGCATGTGCAATGACAATAAAGTTGAATTCTATTCTATTCTATTAATATGTTTTATTTGTGTGGGTAGGCGCCAGAGGGAGTGTTCACCCGGGGCGCCAAACAGGCTAGGACTGCCACTGCATCCACACACCCATTCACACACACATTCACACACTGGTGATGGCAGCTACATTGTAGCCACAGCCGCCCTGGGGCGCACTGACAGAGGCGAGGCTGCCGGACACTGGCGCCACCGGGCCCTCTGACCACCTCCAGTAGGCAACGGGTGAAGTGTCTCGCCCAAGGACACAACGACCGAGACTGTCCAAGCCGGGGCTCGAACTGACAACCTTCCCATTACAAGGCGAACTCCCAACTCTTGATTGCCCAGCATTTAAATAAACAAAATGGTCTAAATACAAACTTCATATAAGGTTAGCTTTTACGATCACATCTTAATGCCAAAAGGACAATGAAGTGTTTTACAATTATCTTCTATAATTGTTGCTGGTAACAGGAAAACAAAACAACTCAAAATAAACAAACAAACAACACTCATTAATATACTTGAATAAAGACCACTGATCAGTGGTCATGACAATTTGCTTATTAATGAGCAAGGAACTGACCTCTTCTATACAGACAGAATAATCGCACAGGAAAGTTATTAGTTATTATTAATATGAAAACAACACTTTTAAAATAAAAAAAAAGTATTGGCCAAGACGACATTGGTTTGGAAAAAGTTTGAAAGAGAAGAGCAATAGCAGTAACACACTGCCCAGGGTGTACTTGCAGCAAATGGAAATGTATACTTTCAGACACAGATACTCATCCCAATTTCCCTTTTAGACATTTTCTGCATCAATATTAGTCAAATTTTCTTGAAATCGTAAAATACCAACTTTAAACATTTGATAACAAAATATAGGTCTGTGATATTTGCAGATCATTGCATTGAGTTTTTATTCACATTCTACTCATTGTTTTAAGTTTTTTGAAATTGGGATTGTCTCATATAGTTTGTGTAAGTTAAGCAACCTTTGCCTTCTAATAACTGCTGCACATCACAAACCACTTTCCAACCCTCCCCCATTAATCTCATATATGTTGTCAGTAATGTTTCTTCCTTGTGTGGCAGCACGAGGTGGGAATGGAATAAATATTCTTCATAATTTAAAATGCCACCCTGGGAATTTCACCCAGAGAATACTGGATCGAGAGGATACTAATCATTAAGAAGGTACTTAGGTTCGTTATACTCAGTACAGATACGTGGTTCAATATTTCTAAAAAGTATTCAGAGCCTAGTGATGTGCGAATCATGAACGAATCTTTCAATACTCGAGAATCACTTTACTGACTCGTGAATCATGCATCACAAGCCCAACTGACTCACTGACTCATCCCTGTTGCTGTTAGCAAACTAATTTCATTAGTAGAAATATATCTAGCTTATAATTAAAATTGTGGGGGGAAAAACAACAGCCAGTTTCTTAACAGAAACATTTCTGCTCTGAACTGGAAGAGAAAACCCTGAGTAGAAGCTCACATCAAGACAACAGTTCCTCAGTTCACAGTAGCATCGCTCTGCTAACATGCTAACACCACATTTGAGTTACTCACCCCCTCCCTTCCCGTGCTGAATCGTAGCATAAATGAATCACTCACTAGCTGTGTCCGAATTCAGGGGAAGGATGCTTCAATGCCATATTTGGAGGCAATGACGTCACGGCGACGCAACGAAGGCTGTCCGAATTCAAAGAGTACTCAAAATGTGGCGACAAATGCGTCCTACTTTGCCCCGAATTTTAAGGATGGGTCTGATGTATCCTTCGTGTCCTACCATATCCCAGGATTCATTGCGGGCCATAGAGGAGATTTGTTTCTGATAACGATGGTGGTTGAAGCGGGAGAGGAAAACACTTTCAAATGTAAGTATATGAAAATCTGGTTGTACAAAAGTTAAATTGTTATAGCGGTCGTGTTGTTAAGCTTTGGGCATCTGCATAGACATGTTTCTTTTATATTTAAATAACCGTAAACCAGCTTGTATCGCGGGTCCCGTAGTTTTTATGTATTGCCGCTTACATACAGCTAATTTTGATTTTTTTCGAATTAAAACGAGGAGGAAACGATCACCTCTTCACTGGGGTGAAGAATTGGGCCGCTACCGCGTGGAGGTACAAGAATAAATGAGTTTACACATCATATTCATATGAGTGCGGTTCTAAAACAAAACAAAACAAACAAACAAACAAACAAAATCAACAAGCTCAGTTACCAAATTTTCTTCACATTAATATTATGATGTCTTTGGTATTTACATTTATCAAAGTTAATACTAATATTTAATACTGACAGTTTCTTAAGATGAATATCTGAAATAAGTTAAACAGAAGGAGAGGGAGGGGGGAGGATGAGAGAACAATTCTCTCCCCTCCCTCTCCTGTTGCTACTTCAATCATGAAACTGATCAATGATCAGCTGATTGGCTTTTCTCTCTTGTTTGTTTATCACTCACTTTGCGCCAGAAAGAGGAAACCAGCAGATGTCGCGCTAAACAACAGCAGCACGTTTAAGCTTGATCAGCTGTTGTTAGAATTTATTTAATATTAATTTCTAGTATCAGCTGATGTTTGCTGGAGCCACAGCTGTAAAGCTGCTGCTCATGATGTCGGTTTGGATATGTGGTGAGAGGGAAACATGAAGATGAAACCAGGAGATGTCCTTACTGAATCATCAGAGCTGTGATGGAGAAACAGGTTTACCTTTTAGGTGACATGAATGAGTTGAAGTTATGAACTGTTTCTGAGAGACAAATAACACCAGGATCCTTTTCTAAGCAGCTGACAGCTGGTAACTGTGCAGGGGCGGGTCTAGCAAAGTGTTGCCAGGGGGCCAGGTAGGGCATTAACAGGGAGAGGGGGGCACAAAGAAATACTTTTCTTTCTTATTCTCATTTTAAATGTCTGGCTTTTAATAAATAATTATCTGAATCTTACAACCAAAGTGGTCATCTGATGTAAAATGTATAGAAATCATACATATACCAACAAGACTGCACATCACTGTCACAACAGTGTTTGTTTTCGTTCAAAGGCTTTATGGTTTTTCCTATAATACCTGGGGGGCCGGTCTCTAGTCAAAATGCCCGGGCCAATTTTTTGTCCCAGTCCAGCCCTAACTCAGAAAGAAACTGGAAAAAAAAGTAAGATTGAACTACTTTAATTAAAATCAGATGAATACAAAAACAAATGCTCGATGCTCTGATAATGCTCTTCTGTTCCACTCATTATGATTCAGCTCAGTTCTTTGCTTTCCTGTAAACTTCAGAGGTTTATTTTTACAAGATATACTGAGAAGAGTGTGGGATTTAATTAACTTACATATTACATGACTTTATGTGCAAATGTAATCCTACACTAGGAGAAACTGTAAACCTCTGAGAAAATGATCCACCTGGTAGTTAGTTACATTTATCAGCCACGGCTTTTAATGCAAATAATATAAATGTTTAACAGGATTCTTTGTATAATACAGACTGACAGACACGGAGTTTCACAGAAACCCTCATGTGAGCATCTTCCTTGTTTGGTTAATGTTTGATTCAGTTTAATAAGTTCTTACTAACAAATCCACCATCACGGGGAAATCTGATCATATTATTGGTTACAGGAAACAGTGACGGCTGTTTCCAGCAGACTGCAGACCGACTGCAGCACTTCATCCTCCTGTTATCGCCTCTGATCGTCTCTGCTGTAGCTCGGCTTCACTGTGACTCGACTCTCCTTCTTCAACCTGGAAAGAAAATTATGCAGCAACAATCTCAGGTGAGTAAACCAACGCTCAGCACCACTGTGTTCCAAACTCATGATTCAATATTCCTGCTCTGGCACAAATTCTGCATTATGAACTTTATAATGTTCATAATGAGTCCGAGTCCTGCAAATGGTCACCAGATAAATTTACAGTCTTTCTTTATTCTTGGCTGGAATAAAGAGCAAAAGTAGTGATGAATTAACCAATGATTAGATTTATTTGTTTTTGCAAATGAAGCCGTCAACTTTAGGAGAATCTTCATCAATATTTAATATTTAATGATCTCACCATGTAGGTTTTGTTTCCACAATTTATTTTCCTAACTTATCATCCATGTTGGCGTTGCTCCTTCGTGCACACAGTGTCTGCTGCCCTCTTTCCCAGGAAACCTTCAAAAAGGAGGTTTTTTGTTCGTTATTTGATGTTTCTTTTATTATTTGGTGTAAATAATACAGTGTTAACTTTATAATGTTCAGTTTTTGTAGCTTTGGAAATATGTAACATTGCTG